GTACATATATATACAGTATATATATATATATATATATATATATATATATTTAAATGCCTTGTGCCATAAGAGAGTCCTCTCCAATAGTAATAGTACTGTATAGTACGTGCAGTCACAGTAAAAGCGTCATCGTCCTCAGTGGTGGACACATGGATTTCTGCTTAAATAACTGAGATTAGCCAACACTGTACCCAGGCAACACAAATAGAGAAGTGCTGTTGTATCCGTGTGTGTGTGTGTGTTTGTGTAGGACGTGTGTTAGCGGTGGGTGGGTGTTAGCATGTGGGTGACTGTGATATTTTTTTTTTTTTTATGGGTGCTGCTGAGGATGGGAACGTTAAGTCACAATGCTGTTGTTGTTTTTGTGTTATTTATTTTGCCCCTTGTATACTCAGCGCTTCCTCGGCCTCAGCCAAATCCACCGTCCTCAATTATCAAGAGGAGAGGAAAATTACAACGGTGCTCCCAACTGTCACTTTAGAGCTCGGCCTGCCTCTAGTGGAGCGGCAGTCTGATCTAATTACCCGGCCGCTGAAAAGCCTCCCCCAACAACACACATACAACCCGGCTACACACACACACAAATACTGTTTTTTGTGTTTTGTGAGACCTAAACAGGGACATAACAAATTCTCTAGCCCCATAAATATATAAATATATTTTTATTCTAACTCTAATCAGACCCTAACTATAATCCCAGCTCCAAACCAAATGTTGAACCTCTAATTACACTGTGCTCAGTGATGACCTGCAAAATGTCCCCTTAACGTCTTGTTCAAAGAAATGTCCCCACAAGTACGGCTTCACAGAACACAAACACAGACACACGCACAAACTCATGTTTTCATTTTATGCAGCAAAGGAAAAACCCAGAGACATTCACTGCCAGACTCAAAATGCTGCTCATGTCTTTCTGTGAACGTCCCAGCTCTCTTCCAGAAGACGTAGCTTTGGAAACTGATGCCGTCATTGGTCAGGGTGACGTTCCGTGTCCATTTTTTTTTCCCGGTTCCATAAATGGCTGCACTTTGGTTGAGAATCAAAGCCACTGAGTGGAGTACAGTAGGAGAGGGGTTCAAGTCCGCTCTCTTTACCCGTCAATACATCACTGTATGATAATTGCTGCTCAGGCTGTGTACCTTTGAGGTGGCGTCTGTGTGGATCTGCCTGATGTTTTGAACACCTCGCTGTGCTTTGGCGCACATGGGATTTTGGTTTCACGTTTGGTGAAAATAGCGGGTTAGAAGAGGGGGAGTCGGCCCTACATGGCTACTGCTCTCCGTTATATGAAGTGCAGGCAGGGCCGCTCCTCTGTCTTTATTACTCCATCAGTGCAGTCATTTGTCTGTTTAATTAAAGGCTGCACAGGTTGGTAACCCGCCTGCAAAAAATATTCATCCTGGAAGCTCGCCGGAAATGAGGGTCCGGCTGGGAACAAGCGGCGCTTATGTCCGTAAACAAGGTCATTCGGAATAGAGGTGCACAGGCTGCCTTAGGGATTCACACACACACACACGAACACACACACACACACACACACAGGGACTCCAGGACGGAAACAAATAACCAAAATAAATAGTGTTTTTTTTTTTTTTTGTGTCCTGCTAATTACAGGAACAGTAAATGTTACGGCCTGTCCTGTAGGATGAGGTTCTAGAAAAACAGACGAAGGACAAACACACAACCTGTTTGAAGATTGTATTTTCTACCAGGTTCATTACATTGAGACTTCTCTTTAATCCAGTTTTGACTGGTCAGACTTTACCTTAAATTCATCCTGATAATTCAAACAAACTGTTCCCAGTAACCAGTGGATTAGTCCAAACTCTAGAGATATCTGTAACTGTATTTAACTCAGGTCCTTTAATTTCAGCCTGAAAACCTGGCTTTATGATGTTGGAGAGATCTTAATTAAAGGGAATTTGAAAATATATTTGACGAGGAATTACGTCTTTAAGTGTAATTGTGATAAAGAAATCCTAAATGTGAAATGTTGGTATAAAATTACACAAAATAACAAACCTTAGAAGAAGGAATAGAAAAAAACAAACAAATTAATTGCAAAGAAATTGGATATAAAATATGTTAGTTCTGACTGAATTAAAACAGCCTGTCGTACACTAGAGCTGCTGCTGCTGCTGCTGCTGCTGCTGCTGCTGCTGCAGAGCTTCACAGTCGACCATCACTGCCGCATGTTTGACGATGAAGAAGTGAAGGAGGAGGAAGAGGAGGAGGAGGAGTGATGCATTGAAATTCTCAGCCATCTCTCCTCCCCCTCCCACGCCCCCCCACCCCCCCGCTCCTCATTAATTGTTTGTGTGGATATTGATCATTCAGCTGGTCCAGTGGACACGGCCGCGGCTCTTGATCCTCGAAGCAGAGTCTCGGACACGAAAGCTCGGAGACTTCTGCTGACGATGTAGGTGGGCTAAAAATAGGCCATTATTTTTACCTCTGCCATTTTGGCCTCATTTCCACCCTCCTCTCGTTCTTCCTCTCGCCACTGTGATGATTTAGTGGCAGTGACGGTGCTGAGTGATGACTGACTTTCTGGGGAGCACGGCATCTCAGCGAGAGTGGTCCATAAAAGATAAAAGAGGTAAACTGGGGCAGAAAGTAAGACTGCTGCGTTAATCGCCCCAGTGCTGCGTGGCTCTGCTAACTAGCTCTTATATAAGAGCAGGAAGAACAGGCAAAAACATGTGTACATGTGTATACATATACAGTATATATACTCTAGTGTGTGTGTGTGTGTGTTCCAGAGGAACTAAAACTGTTATAATCAAACAGTGCGATCTGTTAATGTAAATGTTCTCAGGATAAAAAGACCTGGTGTGTGTGTTCCAGAGGAACTAAAACTCTTAATGTAAATGTTCTCAGGAAAAAAAGATCTGTTTTTTTTTAGATTTAAATGTTTACCAGAAAACATTTGACCTGGTCATTGACGAGACACATCTGTAAGAATTCAGGAAAATGTGAAGATGAAAATGGAGCAGAGTGGGATGAGCTGAAAAAAAAACACTCATTTGTATTGACTGGACGGATGAACCTCCTCAACAGTGAAGGATTTTATCGATAGTTCACAAAAAAAATCCAAGGTTATTAAAAACACCTAAACCTACATACTTTGTGTTTTTTCCTGCAGGGTGTTTTTTTTAAAGGTTGCGTAATGCTATCATGGTTGATATCAATCAGTGTGTGTGTGTGTGTGTGTGTGTGTGTGTGTCAGGAGAACAGTACAAAGGTCCCGTCTGTCCAAACAGGAAGTCACAAATGCAAAAAAAACGATTGTGTGTAAAAGGCAGGTGGGACCAGACCAATGTTGTTATAGTTTTATATTATATTGCCCTGAGTAATCACTGATAGAACACAATTCACCCCAGTCCACAGTAGATTTGCCCAGCTGTCTGTGTGTGTGTGTGTGTGTGTGGGTGTGTGTGAGTACACCAGGTAACAAACCTGGGAGAGGTGTGTGAGTCAGACGTGTGACCTTCACACTGACCCGTCGTTTTCCCGTAACTGAATCCTTCTCAGTAAACCTTCGTAATAGTTCCAGTTATAACATGTGTTTTGGGGGGGGGGGGGGTTTCTTTAAGATGAAGTTGTTTTTATTTTTCTGTCCAACATCGTTGTGTTTTTTTGTTTGTTTTTTTTCTTTAAGATGAGGTTTTTATTTTTATTTTTCTGTCCAACATCGTTGCGTAGTTTATGTCACAGTGCAGTGTCAGTTTCTTCCTCTGAATTTTTGAGTAAGTGAAAGCTCAAAGAAATCCAAAAGTTAAATCCTCTTCCATTCGCTGAAAACACAGGGTCGTGTCTGTGGACATATAATGATAAAGGTGTGTGTGTGTGTGTGTGTGTGTGTGTGTGTTTGTTCCAATGTTTTAAATGTGTGTCTGGTCTGTTTGTTTCCCTCAGGGCTTTGGCGAGGCCGGTTGCCAGCCTGTCTGAGCTCACCGACGTGTGTGTGTGTGTGTGTGTAGTAGTGTTTTCAATGTTATTATTGTTATTAGTAGTAGTAGTAGTAGTAGTAGTAGTAGTAGTAGTAGTAGTAGTAGTAGTAGTAGTAGTAGTAGTAGTAGTAGTAGTAGTAGTAGTAGTAGTAGTAGTAGTAGTAGTAGTAGTAGTAGTAGTAGTAGTAGTAGTAGTAGTAGTAGTAGTAGTAGTAGTAGTAGTAGTAGTAGTAGTAGTAGTAGTAGTAGTAGTAGTAGTAAGTGTGTGTTGTCCCTGTGTGTGAAGCGCTCTGACGTGACTGTCACACTCGGGGAATCTGCTGTAAATTACTGAATAATTGAGTCGAGGTCAAACTCTCTTCTCATTTAATCAACACCAGGTTGAAAATGAGACATAAAAAAAAAGTGACACCATCGCTCTCATCTGACTCCTGTCAGACAAATTGTGTTATGAACACATTTACATAACATTGACCTGGCAATCTGGACTCGGAATTTACATACTAAAAACACACACGTCATATGAAATGATATCTTCCTTTCCTTTGACGTCTGTTGTTCTTGTGTATGATGAAGAAGCAGCACAAACTTCAAATATTAAATATTAAAATCACACAATTACACAATGTCTCACCTGAGAGGAATCAGCTCTGGGTGTAGTGCTGAAATCAGGCCTTTTCTCTAGGACGTTTTAGGCATCACTGTCTTCACTGAGCCTTTGTTGTTGGTTTATCTGAGTCTTATCTGAGTCCTTGGATGAACTGGTAAATTTGTTTTTTTTTATGCCCTCTCTGTCCGCAGGATCACCACCACTGCAGCCTGTATGATGGACCTGCGTCGCTATCCACTGGATGAACAGAACTGCACCCTGGAGATTGAAAGCTGTGAGTACGGTGGTGGCGGTGGTGTCTCTGAGAGTCCGGTTCTCAGGCGTAGACATGAAGTTGAACAGTTCTGGGTGCGTACCTGCGGCTCTGCAGTCTGCCCATCCAGTGCTGACAGAACGTAGACGGAATGTTGATAAGGCTGCGCTTAAAATGCTGAGAAAGGCCTGATGAGACGCGCAGAGATTCACATCAAGAAGAGGAACATCACTAATGGCTCACTGACTGATAACATCCAGCCTAATTAATTCAGCTCCATCTGCAAAGGCTTCCTAAGCAATAGAGAGGAGCCTGCGTGATTAGTTCCCATGCACTGGAGAAATTCATTATTTGCCCCGGCAAAATATTTTTTAATGGGGCATTTCCCAGTTTAGGGCATAACTTATACTGTGGTGGTAAAAAACAACACATGTCCAACAGGCCAGTTTGTATTTGATACAGAACAAATTATAGGTCTGGAAACATTATTCACTTATACAATATCCTAAACTTTATTGACATCTCAGGTTCAGAAGTTACCACTTAAAAAATCCTATCCATTCAACTTGTGTTGCTTCCCAACAATTGTAAAAAAAAAAACACAGGAAAGTGAAGTGTCGTCTCTTCTTCTGCTGGGCTGTCGTCAGTTAGTCTATTGGTTACTTTTCTCCTTTGTTTGGGGGGGGGCATTTTAGCTGATGTATGTATAAGTATACGTCATAGAACCAGCCGATCTACTAGAAAATGTGGTACACATTCAAAAGTTACGACAGTATTTTAGCTAGATATACACTACTGCTGTGGCGCCCCCTGATGGAGGCACAAGCCCAACGTAATACTTTCTACTCCTTGCACATCCTCAGAGTGAAAGCCTGTGTTTCTGTGGCTCAATTAGTTTGTTTCACGTTGAGTTTGTAGTTGAAATGATCTTGTGTTCTTGGCTGGAGGGACAGAAGACGAACAGGAGAAAACCACAGTCCTCTGAGGGTTTAGTCTGGGTCCCTGAAGACATCTTTATGGTGCTGCGATGTGGTGTTGGGTTGACTCTTTCTGTGTTTGATCACACTATCGCCAGCAGCGTTCAGCAGTTAAAAAACAACAACAAAAAAATTGTAGGTCAAAATCACCTCTAATTACTGCCTTATTTTCCCTCATCTCTTTCCATAGTTTCTTTTGGGGTTTTTTAAAAAAAGCTTTTTATGTTTTTTTTCTCTCTCTCTCTCTTGGTCTTGAGCTTTTGTTCCTCCCTCCCGCCTCCCCCCCTCAGAGACACCCCCTGAGACACACATACACACATCGCTCCAGTTTTGTTCTCCTATGGATTAACTGGCAGTGGTTGTAACACTGAAACCACTTCATGCCAGAACGTGATCTTTTATTCAGACTAATAGGCCTGGAGAAACTCACACTTTCCTTAATAAACTCGATGCATTTTTAACAGACACCGTCTTTAAAAGCCAATCTCCTCTGATATCTGATCCACTGCTGACTCGAGACGCTGGACAATCACTGACTTCTACGTCGATACCAAAGAACTATTTCCTACGCTGCTACTACTGATCAGTAGCTATTAGGTTTTATATAGCAACGTTTAATAGCAGTAATTATCAACTGGTGTCCCACGGGACAAATCTTTCCCGCAAAATGATCCTTTCCGGCCCAATACTAGATTCCAAAAGTATATTGTGTGGTTCCCACTATTATCGCAACTGAAACAAACAACAACTGAGACTTAAGTAATAATCCGATATTCCAACCATTTATTAAAAAAAAATGTCATATCATTTTATTTTATTTTTTGTGTTGGTCCCCCAAGGTAATAATCCGATATTCCAACCATTTATTAAAAAAAATGTCATTTTATTTTATTTTTCGTGTTGGTCCCCCAAGGTGTCCAAAAAAATTCTGTCCCTCCGACAAATGTAGTTGGTGACCCCTGTTTTATAGGCTTTCATTCCGTCAAGAAACTTTCAAAACTTTCCCCCAAAAAATCCAGCTATTGTAACTTCAAGTACAGAACAACAATCATTTCTTCTGGTAGTAAATCAGTTTACACCAACAGGACGCTGTATGTGGGATGTTTGTTTGTCTGGTTCTATATAAAACCTGTAACCTCCTGGTCACCTCAATTAGTGCAGAGTCCACTGTGGTGACGTCTTGAAGTACAGCCCAGTTCAATTTATTCTTTTTTTTTTTTTTTTTTTTTTGCATGGGGACCATCATGAGAGTGTGTTTTATGGCCTGAACGTTAACTGTGCTGTCATTTTGTAGCTCCATTAGTTCTGGACCATTGATGACACTGTAATACATTAGTGCACTGATCCTGAACTGTCATGGAAGTCCTACAGGAGTGATGCCAAGAGAAGGCAAGAAGTGCTTAAAGACAAGAGAAGCAGTCGGGGAAAAAAATGCCTGCAGGATTTTTACCTTTAAATAAACCCAGGATATTTATTACTCCCCTGTAAAATACTGTGTTTATTTTGTATATGGAAGAAACGCAACTGCAGGATGAACTGCATTCTATTTGTCTGGATTTTCTTCTTCTACTGCTTTCTATTTGTCTGGATTTTCTTCTTTTTTTTTGTTGTTGTTACATCAGAGACCAGAGTCTAAGACACTAGAGACGACTGACTGCAGGTGCAGCAGTTCTATTTCATGTGCACCATGTGTGCATCATGCTCCAAAACTCTGATATTGTTTATCGGGTCACTGCATGCAGCAGTATGTGCCAACCATCAGCCCAGACTCTAACTACTCTGTTAGAGCTGGTGAACGTGTTTTTATTACACACTAAATACGTTGTTACTTTCAGAGGTACTGTGTGTGTCTACAGTTTGTACATGTAGCGTTCGTATTGAATGACTGTCAACCACACTGAGTGCTTCTTCACATTCAAGCCAGCAACACAGATCGTTAGCCCAATAATTAGATCGCAAACTGCTAGTAGGTCACAGGGAAAGTGCTGAAAGATCACGAGCAATTAGAAAAAAAGAAAAGTGAAAACATAAACATCATTCTATAGTATGTAGTAATGACCATATAAGGTAAGTCTGTTCACTTTATATGAGTAAATATATGTCACATTAAACAATATACACATCATTTTAGCCTGGTCATTTGGACTTTAGCTCCCACCCCAAAAAAGTGTGGACACCCCTGATTAAAAGTCATCTTTCACTTTAACATATGCCCATAAAAATAGGACTGTTGTGAGGCTGCAAACTGTGAAATAACTACTTTGTACAATTTGTTTACCTTTGACTATTTTTAAAAAATATATCTAAATAAAAACCATTACATGGTAAGTAAAACCATTCAGCAGTGAACAAATACATCTGAATCATATACGTTAAACTGGAATTCTTATTTTCTGCTCTGTTCCTCCGTCTTTGAGTGGGTTAGCTTTATTCATGGCGAGCGCCACTTAGATCCACTATAACTCACTATAATACATTAGAAGGCATTAGTGGGCGATGATAACATCTCGCTCTAAGTGTCCTGGCTTTGGTTTCTCCTCTGCAGATGGCTACACCACTGATGATATTGAGTTTTACTGGCGAGGTGGCGACGGAGCCGTGTCTGGAGTCGACAGAATAGAACTGCCACAGTTCTCCATCGTGGACTACAAGCTCATCTCCAAGAACGTGGTCTTCTCCACAGGTAATTACCGGGAGGTCGACTGAAGTTAAACTACCCCAGATTACGAGGGGAATAATTTTTAATGATGATCATTTCATATAGGGAATAACTGTACACATAAAAAGACACCAGGAGTGTGGATAAATATAACATGCTTCCAGGTGTCAAAGAAAATAGCTTTCTGTGGGTGTCACTGAGGAAATGACGCCTATTTCTATCCTACTTCTCTGTGCCTCCTTAAGGTTCCTACCCCCGCCTGTCCCTCAGCTTCAAGCTGAAGAGGAACATTGGTTACTTCATCCTGCAGACGTACATGCCTTCCATCCTGATTACCATCCTCTCCTGGGTCTCTTTCTGGATCAACTACGATGCCTCGGCTGCCAGGGTGGCGCTCGGTAGGTTTGTTTTACCTCTGCTCAACAGTGACCATGGGAAATAAACCAGAGCTAAATGATAACAGACCATAAAAGAGGCCATTTTAAACACAACAGGCCGCTCACACTCACACTGGCGCCGCGTCCATATGTTACTGCGTGTCAGGAGCCTGACTCTCACTTTTGCCTCTTTATTTTCCCAGCAGTCACTTTGTTCTCATTAGCCATTTGCACGTGAGTGATAGCAGTGTGTGATAGGCCGCCCGGCTGAATGTGTGTTGTCCAGAGACGATGATATGTGTGACTCATGCAGAGCGGGAAGCACTGCCGCGCGACCTTGAATCGTGCCGTCTTTCCCTTTGTCCGTCCGTCCGTCCATCCGTCTCTCATTGGCCAGAGAGGCCTGTCCAGAAAGATAGAGTCCAATTTACGTACAGTGTGTACTGCAAAACATCTGACATATCAACAAAGACAAAAGAGGACGAATAAATTGTTAATATTTTAAGATCTCGAAGTGTTTATGACCTGATCTGCTGTAATGTGGCAGAGCAGAAGTCTCTTTAAAAACAAGGCTATGAAATATAACTGAGATTAAATGAATACAAGCTGTAAATGCTGCCAGAACAGAGCAAAAGTCATAAAAAAAATATAATTTAATTTATAATGTTTTATTTTCTCCAATTCTGTCCAACAGTTAGTGTTTGAATATAAGGATTTAATGTACTGTATATATTTGCTGCAGCTGAATGTACCTCAAAATACAATATATTTTATATCCTTTATTTATCAGTTATGTTTTTATCCTGTGACCTCAAAATCTCATCTTCCAACTTGGCTTGGGTTGCTGGCTCTAACAGATCCACCGACACTCTGCAGCGACTAAAACACATTCCGTGTTTTTATGTCCGATGTCAAAGTGCGGCTGACGCTGTAATGTGATGTCACAAAGCTTCCACCGGTGATAAACTTGGGTCTTACAGAGCAGAGCGGCGACAAACGACTTTAAGCCTTATGTGTGTCGTTGCTGCTGCACACCATTTGTTTTCTGAAGTGGGACACGTACGGGTTGGATCCCCAGATGGTGCATTTGGAGAGTGACGTGATTCAAAGCGTCCAGAGGACCAGCGCCGCCAGTGGGAGATGACGCTCCACGTGGCGGCGGCGGCAGCAGCAGCAGTGCTACAGTCGACGCAGGGTTATTTATAATCCGTGTGAATTTGACCAAATGCAGATTGTGCAAACAGAATGACTAATGTATCAAACACAATGTATGCACGTAAAAAAAAAAACAGGTGAAATGTGCTGTGACTAACGGCAGATGTTTTCACTGTCACTCTGCATTTTATAGACTGCCATCAGTTTGGCTACGACAAAGTCGTGAACATCACATTTACATCTACTCTTCTCTGTACCCCTACCAAGTACCCTAACCCTTATTCTAATCTCAAAAGGTTCCTAGATCAGGACAGGATCAGTCATTTGGTAGAACAGCGCCACATAGATCAGGGGTCTATGTACTGTAGTGTGTACTGCATGCTCATACAGTAGCAGTTTACCCTCGAACAGTCAACGCAGTCATGACCTGTGTGTGTGACTGTCAGATGGTGTTTCACAGAAAATGAGTGTGAGCCAGTTTTCCATGTCACACTTCAGTGATGTCACTGTCTTCTTCTGTGAGGTTTTCAGCAGCAGTGCGGGCAACAAGTAGCATCTTGTGTTTTTCTTGTTAAATCCCAGCTTAGACAGACAGACAGACAGACAGACAGACAGATGGACAGACAGACTTTTTTTGATCCTAGGGTGGGAAATTACAGTAAAACATTTACTTTCTTGTTGTAATTCTACATATTTCTGTACTATCATTGCAGTATACACTGCACTTTTGGCTTCATTTGAATAATCCAGCAGCTCTTGATGAATTTTATTTAGACTTAATTGATAGAAATTGCTCTTCTATTGTTAAAGGTTGCCGACCACTTACATGAAATAAAGAAGCAAAACCAGCAACAATTACTGATATCAGCGTAACTTTGAATTTGACAAATGATACGTGTGTGATGTGATTTTAGAGAATTCTACCAGGTAACTGAAAACTTTAACTTTTCTTTGTACAAATGCCTGTGCCGATCTCCAGGAATCACCACGGTGCTGACCATGACCACCATCAACACCCACTTGCGAGAGACGCTGCCAAAGATCCCCTATGTTAAGGCTATTGACATGTACCTGATGGGCTGCTTTGTCTTTGTCTTCCTGGCCCTGCTGGAGTACGCCTTCGTCAACTACATCTTCTTCGGTCATGGGCCTCAGCGCCAGAAGAAGGCTGCTGAGAAAGCAGCCACGGCCAATAATGAGAAGCAGAGGTCCGACCCCAACAAGGTAAGTCGGCGGAGAAACTTTCCTCAGGAAATGTCTGTGCTGTCCACTAATGTCTTTTTGTCTGTTTGTTTGTTTATGTGGCAGGAAGTAACTTCTCGCACTGTCAATGTCCGTGTGATGCTGTGACTAGTGTTCGATGACCTATGTCAGCAAATCTACTCATGATCAAGCTCTCCCTTTCTCACGGGTTTAGCCATTTGTATCAACTTTATTACACGCGTTCCTAAAGAGGGAATGCAGAAACAAAGACTGGCCTTTTTTTTTTTTCTTTTTTCTTTTTTTTTACTCTATCTTCATATTTCTGTGTCTCTCAAAGGGCAAGGCACCTGGGAAAAATTCTCTTCCATTAAACCTGATTCAGCCACTAAAGTTACAGGAACGACAGCGACGTTAAAATAAAGCACCCCTTCATTCTGAGTGTGGCAAGCTACGATTTCCCCAAAGTAACAGTGCTGATTTTGTATGCTTGCAGTGGCTGGTGGGGAATGTAGTTCAGAGAGATGATGCTCTGTATGCCAGAATGAAACAGAGGGAAATTGACGCGTATGACTCGATGTGGGATCCCATCTTTGTGGACGATGCTGCTTTAGGACTAGGCGAGCAAAGAAATAAGGTACTGGAGGTTTTGAAAATCAAAACTAATATTGTCATGAATCTGAATCAACTCAGATCAGAGGAAAATGCTGTAGTTTTTTTGTGCATTTCTTTGATTTTTTTTCCCCATAGATTTTTAGGCAGTTTTGATCATCACTCCCACCATTGTGTTTTTCCCTTTCTTGGTTTACTCTTCATGCATTTTCCTGACAAACATGGCTCAGTAGTTTGATTTCTACTGGTGTTATTTACCACCTTTATAAGCTGTGTATTTAGATTCATGGAACCCCATGAATGTAGAAACCAAAGAATAAACACTATATAATCTTTGAACATTATTGAGGTTGGAATTTTATCCAGTGTAAGAGGCAACTGATGGTTTTTAAAAAAAATAAAGACCAACTTTTAATTGGAGAGGGACAGAGATTTCTGTTTACTAAGTGGCTCGGTTTTTATTCTTCAGAAGTCAGACTATGGATGAAGAAATCTTGATCCGAATCCACTTCCCACAACCGTCCTCCCTGACCTGCTCTGAACCCTTTTAGCCTCTCCTTCATTGCAAAAGTCCTTACAGTTTTTCCTCCTCACACATTTTCCTTTCTTTGCTTTATTTTTTCCTCTTTTTATTTTATATTTTATATTCAGTTTGACTTGTGAATTGTCAGAATTTTGACTAAACTCTGGTTGAAATTCTGAGATGGCAATGAAGAATCAGTCCGTGGAGTGTGTTGCACTCCTTCAGGACTCTGATCTCATACTTCACTCAGGTTTCTAACAGCAGACAATCAATGATTTTCTGTTAATTATTCTTCATGTAAGTAACAGTTTTGGACTCATTTACATTGACCATTCTAGCACCTCATCCAACTGTCAGACTAGACAAAGAGTTTCATTTCGTCAGGGATTGTCGTTGGCAGTAACTTCTCATAACTCCACATGTCTTTATATCCAGATGACTCCTGATGACAACATCCACTTCAGCACTTTGGAAATGAAGAATGAGATGGGTGGTGCTGGGGATCTGTCCAGGGGTCTGGGAGCACCCGGAGACCCCCGTAACACCATGCTGGCCTACGATAGCTCCACGCTGCAGTATCGCCGGGCGGCCATGGCCCGTCAGAACTATGGCCACAGCGCCTTGGAGCGCCACGCCCAGAAGAAGTCCCGCCTACGGAGACGGGCCTCCCAGCTCAAGGTCAACATCCCAGACCTGCCCGACGTGAACTCTATCGACAAGTGGTCCAGGATGATTTTCCCCACCGTCTTCTCCTTCTTCAACGTGGTCTACTGGCTCTACTACGTCCACTAAACCCAGCCGCGTCTGGGCATGGCCATTTGAAGGAGTGGGGGTGGGGGTTGGGAGGGAGTGTATTAGGAGGCAGGAGTTTTAAAGGGGACTTGAGAGAAGTCAGGAAAGAGGAGGTGAGGGTTGATGTGAGATGAACAGTGCACCAACAGTTTGGGCTGGTTCATTTGAGAGGAGGAGAATTACAAAGACTTTTTGGATGAACTGCAGCAGCACCCAAACACTTCAGTACAGCAGTGACTCTTTCAGAAAATGGGAAACACCTTCAAATGACTGGGAGACTTTCAACACGAAGAGGAAGTTTAAAAAGAGACAAAAAAACGGTGCCTGTTACAGGATTTCAATATATCACTAATATTTGTCATTAGTAGCTTACTCTCTGTGGATCAAATATTTATGCTTGTGTTTGCATATACTTTAAGGATTTGTTTTCTTCGGTATCTATTTACTTTGTAGCTGAGCTGTCTGCATCCAGGAAAGCTTTATAAATGATTTTAAAGGGGTCATCCTCGATAGTCTATTTTCCTATAATTACTGTATATCCCTCAACATCCTTTTAAGAGCATGCTTATGTTTGATTTCAGTTGCACCTCAGTCACAATAATAACAGAGTGCAAAGCGTTTTCATTTTCCTACTAGTTAAGGTTAGTCTGTCTTCAACTCTCATTCTGGCAGCTTTGGCTCTGCACAGCATCTCCAATGAATGAATGGAGTGACGGAAAGTTGGACAGCAGGGGGCGCTCTATTCTGCAAACACGTATGTGGCGCTCTCGCGGCGCCAATGCCGGACAGAAAACCTCTTCCTCGGTGTTGTACGTCCCGTCCCGTTAATTTATTATTGTTTATGTATTTATTTATTTTGAGGTGAAAATTTCCGACTCCTTTGTTCTTTGAATTATTGTTTGAGGAGCTTCCGAGACCAAGAATGGCTTTACCTTGACTTGACTGGGTGTAAGAAATTTGCCGATTGTTGAGCTGAGTTTCATTGCATCCAGAGTTGCTGCATAAACCTGCTAATCCACAATCATTAGTATCAGTAGATATGAATGATAGAAATATGACGCGTTTCCATTGTGACTAGGTTTCTGTTCTACAAAAGCTGTAGATAGACATGAATCATATTTAAAGAAAAAGAGATAATTCATTTTTATAGACCAATACTCACATTATTGTGTAAATATTATGAATTTATTCTCATTAAATGGTTCTCTGTTGTTGTTTTTGCGGATGAATTACGGATCAAATGTTCCATCAAACAAACAAACAAAAAAAAAAATAATAACAATAATAATGCCGAGAGCTATTTAACAAAGGGAAAAAAAAAAAAGAAAACACAATTCACAACTTTGCTGACTCTGTACTTTTGGGACTTTTCTCTCTTTACTTTCTTTTTAATGGACTCTAAAAGCATACACTTGCTGAAACTAAAGCACTTCCAGACACCACTGACTCTTGGGTCAATGTTTTGTTCTCCTTAAAACAACTTAACAAAGACCCCGATATCCAGGCATATTTTGTATAAAGTTTCTGTAAATTCCAATTGTAATATTTCATAATGACTGTAAATATCTTGTGTAATGATTGTCAGCAAATATGAAGATGTATCTAAATTCAATTAAAATTCAATTCAGCCTATCACTTAAATAACAGAGACTGTGAGTGGCAGTTTCATGTGTTCAGTGTGAATGTGAGGCTGATTACTCCGCAGCTCCTGACTGGTTGAGTGTCTGAATCAGTGTGTTCACAACCGAACGTTATGTACAGTAGAACGTGGAGATGGCAGCTGGGTTACGAGTGGCTGCGTTCTGCATGGAAATTTGTTTCCCATAGGAGTAGAGATGAGATGGACTTGGCTCTGGAGTCCGAGCAGGGCTCCGATCTGGCCCTGGCATCGGGACACATTAACACCAAGAGTCCAAGATTTTCTGTGGTTTGTTTGGCTACGGGCTCACAAAGGCACCGCTGCCAGAAAACACAGCAAAAGATAATTCCAAAATGAAAGAAAAACACCAACCCGTCTCTCGTTCAGTCTTTAACTCCACAACTTCGCTCCGCATTACATTTACTTCCTGTCCTGACCGCTGTAACAGCCTTTAAATGGATGCCATTAAATATTTGATGGTGCAAAACATTGAATATTTAATATTTCAGGAGTAATTTTGTTCTTGGGGGAACAAATGTGCAGTTAATGTTAGATTTAAATGAGGCAGACAAAGAACGGAGCGGAAACACGTGCACTGAGGATGTTTTGTTACTCTGGAGTTATCTGATGAATTCAAAAGACGGGGACGTAACAAGGTCGCACAAATGGTTTATTTCTGCCTCAGACGCAGACAATCTGGAATAACATGCAGCTGACTTCACTCATGAATCTCTCAACATGTAAATTATGATGAAAAGTCATTAGTGTCGCTGCGGTTTCTCATATATTTATGTGTATGCATGTCTCTGCATGTAACGTTCAGAGAATCTCAGATTTATTTCTGTACATTAATACAAGCAAATGGAGAGAGTTAATGAGTTAAATTTAAAATTCAGCCGGAACCAGTGTTCTGGTTTGGGTTTTTTTTTTTTCAGTAGACACAGTTGTCTTTTTGGGCAGAGACTTAAAAAATTAAAGTTACTGCACTGCACCAAATTATTATTCACCTAATTTTTATAGAGACAGTTGAAAAGGCATCTGTTACAAAGAAGAGATCCTGCTGTTCAAGGTCAGCTGTCTCTGTTTGGCCAAATGCTACAACTACTTTAAATGACCCTGTGCTGTAAATGAGGTGGTAATACAGCAAGAAGTTGTACCAAAGAACTCTATGCATCAGTAATGAGCCAATTTACAATGTTTAGCTTGAGAAAACAGATGTTATCCTAATACTGTGTGGTAAACATGATTAGGGCTCATTAGACTCTTTCTCATTTCCTGCTTTAAAAAAAAACAGCGTTAGTGTGTTTTCATGTTAGTGGAGGAACGGCAGATGCTTTCACTCTGTACAGTTTCCATGTCACTGACGTAATCAAGAATGTAGTTTCTGTTTATGTATAATTCTGGACTAGAATTAGGGTCAGATAAGAGTTAAGACAGGCTTGAAAATAGACATGTATTTGCTATAGTTAAGGTTAGGGTGAAAGGTTAGGGATTGCATTATATCTACTCAGAAAACACAAAAACAGGCGCGTGTGTATGTGTGCATGTGGGTGTATTTTTGGTGCATGTGTGGACTCACAGCTGCACCAATGTGCACTCCGTTTGCCAGCCAAGCCAAACCCAGTCAAAGCAGCCCACAGAGAGCCAGGAGAGTGAGTCTGGCTCAGTCATGTCACACTACTCCACTGGTCCACACATATGTGATGGAAAAACATGCAGCGCTGCCTGAGGAGATGAACCTGCTGTCAGCTGACCAAGGACAGCACAGGGGGAAAAAAAAAAAGGAGAGATTGAACTTGGTCCCATTAAAAAGGGGAAATACACACACATAAATCTCCATTTGAAATCTAATTTCCAATAGTGTGTCTGTGCTGTGCATTTAACTCTAACCTGATGTATGGAGTTTCATTACCGAAGCCATAAAAGTGTCTGACTTTGAAATGTACTGTAAGTGCAATAAATGAGCGGCCGTTGCAGTTTAAACTGGTCGTGCAGACCAGTCTGGACAAGACAACATATGTCAACATGGGGGGAGGAGGGGGGGGGGCATCCTACATGCCTGCCATCTGTGTCAGAGGCTGCCCTGTTGTTGTTCATCACACACATACATGTAAATAGAACCAACGTGTTACCAGCCTCAAAATCAATAACAATGAATTAATTATTCTAAAATAATTTTCAATCATTTCTGCTGGTGTTTTTTTTTCCCAGTGTAATTTGATTTAGTGGAACTTACAGTTTTTAAATAAGTAGTAGTGACTTTGACCAGGTTGAACTGAAGGAGTAATTACGGTAGATTTCAAAAGTGGAAGTTGAAGCTGAATGTCTGCGTCTCACACTGGTTCTTGGCATCTGTAAATGCTTCTCTCCAACTATTTAAGGAGGTGTGGTAGCTGTCGGTTACCATGAAGACTAGGGCTGTCGAATTAAAATTTAGAATCTGATTAATCGTGAATAATCGAAATTAATAAGCATTCCTAAATCTAAAACAAAAATCTGTTCTTCAGTATATTACTGGAACATGAAGCCAAATAACAGCAGACTGATGTTTTAGTTTCACACCTGGTTCATTTGTGATAAATCATGTAAAACATTTCTCCTCAACAATATCACCTGATTTACCTTCCTCTGAAATCCCACACGCACTCAGTAAATGAGGTCTGACTCAAGTCGTTATCTGACCTGAAGATAAAGACCATGCAAATGCATGCTGGGTGTTCAGACCGTATATTAAGGTCAAGGTTCATCGTTGAAAAGGAACCATTTCCCCACAGTGTGTGTCAATGCCAATCGTTGAAAAGGAACCATTTCCCCACAATGCCGTTTTATATCCACTGTGTATTAGAGACAACAGTAACTGGATGGTAGAAGTCATGGAAATAGAATTCTTCATTATGCCTGTGCATTAAAATTATGTTTTAAAAAAATTAAACTAATTAATTCCACAAAGTGATAATTATGATTAATGAGTCATTTCACTTTGACAGCCCTGATAAATACGCAGTCGGTATAAAGTTTGTCGACAGATGGCTTGTCAATGAAAACCTCTGAGTCAGACTCTTAAAGTGAGCTGATCATTTTGTCTAATGGAGTTATTTATTGTCTAAGTGACGAGAGTTCAATGACAACGCTGATAAGGCGCTACAGTTGCCTCTCATTTATCACCTCTCTGAGACTTAAATAGCCCCAGTGCCTGGAATGCAAACATACCTGTAAAAGTAAGGGGCGGACTCTAAGGAGGGATCGTCACCTGTTACAACTGCACATATCAGGCCTTTGATACACACATGCAGAGAGAGAGAATAACAGGGAAATGATGGAGCTGACAGAACTCAAGGAACCTGCGAGTATTGCCGAGACTGGAATAAGGAGACGTTGATGAAAGAAGGAACACAGAGAGGGAGCAGCCATGAAGTGGAGGAACCCAGTGGACCTGGTCAGGGACGCTCTGAGAGGTCAGCGTGCCAGAGACAAAGACCTCCGCAACCTGGTGTCCAATCTTCCCTATGAAGGGCTGGAGAAGTCAAAGCAACCCAACCGGCACTTTCCGGGAAACGCCATCAAAACCACCAAGTACACGCTGCTGCTCTTCATCCCCGTGAACCTCTTTGAGCAGTTCCACCGCATGGCCAACCTGTACTTTGTGGGCCTGGCTATTCTCAACTTTGTCCCTGTAGTGAATGCGTTCCAGCCCGAGGTGGCTCTAATCCCCATCTGTGCCATCCTGTCTCTCACTGCCTTGAAGGACGCCTGGGAAGACTTCAGGAGGTACCAGTCTGACAGGAAGCTCAACAACACGCCGTGCCTCATCTACAGCAGGTAAATCACTCAGAGACAATGGCAGCCCGACTACTGTGTGTTTCCACATGCGTGACGTGACAAGTGGAAGCACTCATGGCGCATTTGCAGCACCTACTCTTCTGTGTGTGTGTGTGTGTGTGTGTAGTTCTTCTCATCCAGCGTGTTGATGTCTGTGTCAGAGCGTAGCTCCACATCACTGCGTGTTCACCTCCTTTGCATTTCAGCCGCCTTTGGGAATTTTGGACTTAGAAATAGAAAGTGTGTGGGAGATTATTCCTCTTTTGAAGAGCTGCACAACAATATCTCTCTCACCATGGCATTGTTCAAATTTCATGAAATCCTCATCTTAGTGTCACATCGGCAGAGGCAGTGAAGTTAGGACTCATCTATTTTAAAATCGATCAAGAAAAAAAAATAAGCTTAAACGCTGCCTTTAAAAAAAAAAAACGACCGAAAAACGTTTAACTTCTGGGGTTATTTTAGTTGAAGAAAAAAAATGATGTGAAGCTGGAGACACCTCTGATGATGAATCTGCACACCTTAAAGTGATATTTCTATTTTTATGACATGGTTGTGTAAGCCACTGATACGTATATATAGTCAGCAGCCAGGTCACTGTGCACTTTCCTAACTTGCTGCCAACATCCGGAAGCAGACTGAGACATGAAGATTTGCCCTGCAAACAGGGTCAGGGCAACCAAGATTTGCCCTGCAAACAGGGTCAGGGCTTTGATCAGGGAGTTTTATCTCTGGTCTGTAGCTGACAATGTCTGTATTGCTCCAAGAAAAATATTTGATCATTTATCTTGTTGTTATAAAAGCATTTTGTGTCAGGAAATTGAAGTACACAGAGAAAAAACGACATCTGGATAGAGACAAAAAAAATAGTGTCAGTCGATTATAGTGTATAAAATGATTTTCTCTGTATATTTTAAAATAGATTTTTTTTTATTGGTCCATTGGAAACAAATGATGAGGATGTTTGTTGCTTACCAGGATCAAAACCATAACGATGCATTTGTCAGTGCACTCAATCTTTTGACCAAACCATTCAGTGTGAAGATAGAAAAAGAACAATCCAGTTTTTCATTCTCAAACTGAAAGCAAAAAAAGGAGTAAACCTCCGGTCAGGAACTCTGATTGGTTGAGTATCAATCCCCAAGTGTTTTTGAGTTCGTGTCCAGGTCACTGGAGTCAAGTTCAAACACAACAGCAGTGAAGGTGTTTTAAGGTCTACATTTACACTGGCACCATGTTAAATTTTACTTTACTTCACTTTTTTATTTTTTTTAGAAGGGACTTTGTTTCTGCTGAGTCTTTCATTTATACTGCTTTGCTATAAGCAACTTGCAGAAAGACAAATGTGTACTGCTGAGTACTTGTTATTAAGTAATGCTTTACTGCTCTATCGAGTATCACTTTAAAATGGATGGCTATGTTAGTTTATGTCCACATTAGTAGATTTTCATATTCACATTCTGTCGTTAGATGAGCAGGAAGTAAATCATGAGATTTTTTATACATAAGTAGAATTTTTTAACTTAATATTAATATTTAAACACAGTTTATTCTCCAGAATTCCATATATATAGAAATGTCCCAATGGGAGAAATAAAATAAATGTGAGAGATTTCCACACCTGCAGAGGATTTTTATCCTCGTGTCTAATAATATTTATTGAAATCACAATAGAACAAAAACACCTTGACCTTACACTCACCAGAAGCCATTTAACATATCTCTGTGTTTCCTGGAAAAGCTCACATGAAGCTGAACCAGTTAACAGGAATTTGACATACATCGGTCGGATCTTTTTAGCTCTGGTTCTCACAAAGAAATGAAGTGTTTCTGAGCACTGACGTGTCTCATTACGTGTCCAAACACACAGAACATGGAACATGGCAGCAGTTAGTCACAGCCAGGTTTTGTTATTGTATGGTGAGCTTGTCAGCTATTAACTGCAGAGAAAACAAAAAATAGGTCCAGGAATCTCATCTAACAACTGACGCTCCTCAATGATCTTTGTTCTTCTTCTTTGTTTGTTCTTTTCTGAGAAACACATATCTGGACTGCACATTTTGTCAGATAAATAAATATAACTAAAATATAAATATAAAAAAATCTACCTAAAATAGAAAAGTAACCTGAAATTAAATGAAAATATATAGTAAAAATCCAAAAATAAATTCTGGGAAATAAAAATTAACAAAAATTCAAAAAGAAATACAAATTAGGTTACAAAGTATAAACATGTTTGTAAAATACGTATGTAATGTAATATGTGTGGACAAGGATGATAATGTCAAACCATAGTTTGTTATAATAAATATATTATTTAAAATTGTCCACCAGATGACTCTGGGCTAATTGATATTATTAAATATATATCTATATGCTAGCCTATTCATTTTAAAGCCCATTTTTAGCCCATTTAATGTAAACTGAACTTAAACATTTGTGATTTTGTTACAATTTAGAATTAACCTGCCCAGAAAGGGTGGATTGGATTTACATAAATGCATAATTAATTAGTCAAAATTAATCCCATTTTTTCAGGCCATCATATTATTTATTTAGATGCAGTCCAATTGCATTCAGTCACAGTCTTAATAGAAAGGGCAGCGGACCCTCAGGTGGTTTTACTTCAACCATCAGTCACATCATACTGAACACCTGACGAGCAGACCTGATCTAAGAGGGTTTTTGTTTTTTGTGTTTTTTTTAACCCTGGTGAGTACAATTGAATCGCACTATAAATACACCACCCCTCACATTTACTTTGCTTTGTTTTGGGAAAGGTGTGGTGTTGTGCAGCCACCACCCAATAATCAGGTCCTGCATGAAGGGCAGCATACCTGCAGCTGTCTGTCACCGGTGGTTAACCATCTGGGAGAGACAGAAGCTGCCCAGCTACTTTATCATTTGCATGCTGTGAACATGTCTTTACTTCAATTAGCAGCGGATTTCTGTGTCACTTGATTACATAAACAGTAACAAAATGCACCCATGCGTGTCAAGTCCTGGCTAGTTGTTAATTAATACATTAATTAATTGCTATCCTCGGGCATATGTCTTTTGAAGTGACTGTTGCAGCGTTTGGAAAGAACATCATCGTACCGAGGAACAGCGGTGTAACCCTGTCCTTTAACCATGTTAAAACAACATACACATTTTTAAAAAATCAGCGTTGCGTTTACAGAAGCTTGTTTTTGTTTTTGTTTTTCAGGAAAGAGGTTGGGTTCATAGAGAGGTGCTGGAAGGATGTACGAGTCGGGGATTTTGTGAAGGTTGTGTGCAATGAGATTGTCCCTGCAGACCTCCTGCTGCTCTACACCGCAGACCCAGACGGAGTTTGTCTTATAGAGACGGCCAACCTGGATGGAGAGAGCAACTTGAAGCAGAGGAGGGTGGTGCCGGGCCTCTGCATCTCGGTGAGTAACGTCACCTTAAACCCGTGGCTCCTGCTCCTCTTTTGGTTCTTTATGGAAACTGTTGCATTAAATATGTCATGGTGATGTCACAACAAACCTGAGGATGACTAACGGACATTCCTGTTAGTGTACATACTGTACCTAGCAGTACTGTTCAGGACCACAGTTGTCTTCTGAGGTTGAAAATATGATGTCACACCTCAGGTTGAGTTACATATGAAAAGTTTCCAGTCTTTCTGCAGTGATGTCACATTTCACCTCGTCTGTGCAGGATCCTAGGTTTGAACCCGAGAGCTTTAACGGCATTGTCGTCTGCGAGAAGCCCAACAACAATCTGAATCATTTCAAATGTTATGTGTGAGTATCAAATATACAGATTATTCCGATGCACTCCCAGTAGATAAACTAATTCCATCCCACTCTCTGTATTTCCTGACACCATTAAAGGCGTAATTGTTGGGGCTGTTATAAAATTTAACAAATATCCTCAGGCACCTCCGGTCTTACAGATGGACGACCAATCCTTTCCAGGCACAGCTGTTAAGCGGGAGAAATGCTAATGGAGTGTATATATGAGAAGTAATGAGTATCTAACATGATCTGACAGTACTGAGGAGATTTCTCACCTTCTCCTGCTGCAGAGAGAGACCTGATGAGGAGAAGGTGGGTGCTGGGCTGGAGAGTCTGCTGCTGCGAGGCTGCACAGTCAGAAACACAGACCACGCTGTTGGCTTCGTGGTTTATGCAGGTATTTTTTTTATTTTATTTTTTCTGCTTCACTTCTTCAACCTTGTGAGTTTGTCCAGGGTCACAGTCTGGACCGACACGCAGTAAAGTAATAAAACTGGGCTAGTTTACTCTTTATTATCATGTTTACTCATTAATTAATTGAAAGCAACATATCTTTATTATTATAATAAAGACTTGCTAAAGGACACATGAAAAAGGAACAGGGACATAAAAAAAGTCTATATGGTTTCAAGCGTCTTCTTTTTTTCAATCGTGGATTATGATTAGATGACATTTATGTTGCTTTGCGTTTATTTCGTTTTTTGTTTTTTAGCTTTTCCTGATTACGTGAAATTGACAACATTGGAGTTAGCATAAAAAGCGATTTGTCGAGCGTCCACATGAGTGGACAAGCGGCAATCGACGTCATCTGGGAGGAGTCGAAAAGTTAAAAAAAAAAAATTTCTGCGGCGTGTGCGCCAAGGAACTCTTTGATTGGCTTACGCTGATGTTTTATCATTTTAACCAATTATTACTTAATACTTAACAAAATGGGCGGTAACGTCACTCTAAGCGGAAGTGGCAGTTGCACAATAACAAACCGAGCCGCTGATAATTGGTAGTAGGTTCACGGAAGGAAAGTTTTGAGCAGCTACGTGAGTTGAACCAGTCAACATGGCTACATCGTACTTTAAGTTTAAGGTATTACTAAGGTGTTGAAAAAGAAAACCTTTTTCTTCAGTGTTTCTACATTATATATGTACGTCATTTCACCGACGATTTAAAAACGCTTAAAATTCTTGACTGTTTCACGAATTAATTAGCACGGTTAGCTTGTGTTAGTTTTGACAGTCCCAATTATTACTCCTGTTTTGGAATACGTTTACTATATATATAGGTCGTTATTGACTGAGATTGACGTCATCACGCGTCTCAAAATGTCTTTAATTTGTTTATAGCGTTAAATATATCCGCCATCATTATAAATAATAATTGACCAAAACCAAAAAAGAAAGAACAATGTTGAAAACCTCTTATTGTATCACTGTTTTTTTTTCATCGCTACTTTTTTACAACATTATCTCACCATGTTGTCTTTCTGTGCAGCAATTCCCTTGTATGTCACTAACGTTCCTAAGACGCCAAGAAAGTGTTCATTCTTAACCATTAATATTTTAAAATCTGTAAAAATATATAGAAAACATAAATATTTTATGCCAAGACCTCATTGTCCTCCGTGGTCCCTCAGTAACTAACTCAGTGTCAGCGTCTTTAATTAAACAGGTGTCACTTCTGTCCTGATGTTCACTGACCTTGTGAAATGATCTATCACTAACTGAATCCACACCTTCTGCATCTTTAGGGCATGAAACCAAGTCCATGCTCAACAACGGCGGCCCGAGGTACAAGCGCAGCAGACTGGAGCGTAGGCTGAACGTGGACGTCATCTTCTGCGTCATTCTCCTCTTCGCCATGTGTATTGTGGCAGCAGTAGGTCAGTGATGATCTGCGTAATTTACCAGAATAAAAAAACCCACATGACTGGTTTATAACTAATGCTTTCAGGCTGATGAAAAGTTGCTTAGTTTTTTTATTATTATTATTTATAAAATTTAAAAAAAAACTTTGTCACTTTGGCCACTGGCCAAAAGTTATCCCAGGGGAGAAGGGAGGAGACTGAGGAAGATGTGGTGCTAAAAATAACTTTCCTCTCTGCGTGTGGGTCGCTGTGATTAATCCCTGTGTTGTCCCACTTGCAGGTCACTGTTTATGGCTGCAGGCGGTGCCTGGTGTACCCCCTTACCTGGTCCCTGACAGTGCAGGTCGTCTGGATAGTCCAGCTCTTTCAGGCTTCTATATGTTCTTCACCATGATCATCCTGCTGCAGGTACTGTGTGAAAAAAAAGACGTCAGTCCAGGCTACACTCGGTGTTGGCTTTTATTTCCTTTAAATATATATATTCTAAATCCTTCTCTTTCTTGTCACCTTATTTTTTATTTTCATCCTTCTCTCTTGTCTCTTTTTGTCGTCTTTTCTGCAGGTGCTGATTCCGATCTCCCTGTATGTGTCCATCGAGCTGGTGAAGATCGGCCAAATCTTCTTCATCACTAATGACATTGACCTGTATGATGAGGGGACAGACAGTGGCATGCAGTGTAAAGCACTCAACATCACGGAGGACCTGGGACAGGTTCAATACATCTTCTCTGACAAGACAGGCACCCTCACTGAAAACAAGATGGTGTTTCGCCGATGTTCCATCATGGGCGTCGAGTACCCACACAAGGAAAACGGTAAATATTCACCACATTTTATACATGTTATTAAACCAAAATGGACTCTCGACAAACCATGATTTGTATTCAGGCACTTTTGCCTTTTTTCAAAGCCTAAAGGTTTCCTCCTGTGTGTTTTTGTGGATTTTTTCGCAGCCATACGATTAAATGTCCTCGAGGAAGCAGAATCAGAGGAGGAGATTATCTTCAACCAACCACCACGGACTGGATGGTCAATGGATTTTGAGAACTCTGAACCAGAAGGCAGACACCATCATCATCATCATCATGGTAGCAGACGCAAGAGTAAGGTTTCAGGACAAGGTCAGAAGGACGTGGCCTTCAGTAGTCCACTGGTAAGACGGTCAAAAAGAAGCTGATGGTAAACTAATGGTTTTTATTATAGATTGGAAACCTCCCTGTGACCATCAAATGAAATGAACCTTCTTTTTTTTCATATATTTAAAGATTTGAGGAACAAGTACAATCTAAAGAGACAGTCATAAGTCAACAGTTGTACACACTGTACAGACCTGACAAAATTATTAGTAATTAGTGGGTAAGGCAGACAGCAGGCTGCACTTCGGTACTGGTTCTCCTTCATTCCTTCCTCCACTGTTGGGAGTTTGTAAACAATTATCTATAAGCTAAGAACAAACTACACTTTATTTACTGTATCAGACAAGAGAACCAAAATGATAGTTTCAGTCTTTTAAATGACAATACTACTTACTGACTTAATAAATCATCACCAACTGTTATTGCAAACTGAGCCAGACACTTTACCAACCTCCTTTTCACCTTTCTCTTTTGTCCTTTGTCTAATAAAAATGCAAATAAATCACCAGACGACAAATCCGAGTTACCAAGATATGGATTTTAGAAGTAGGCACCTGGACTGTCTGAAATTTCTTAAAGAATTCCCATCCAAGAGGATATTTTGTTTATATTTGTCTGCTTGAAAAGTCTTGGCTTTAGCCTGTAGGGGCTGAATACCCCGACCCACTGACTCAGTAACAGCATCAGACTAAAACAGATAAATCCTAATGACAAACTAGAGCAACAACGGAGTTGTGTTGTTTAGGAGAAAATGACCTGAAGCACTGACAACCTCACCATACCTCCAGCTGTTATCGATCTTAATCATCTGCCAACTTTCCCGGTTCCTGAATATATTTTATGTCTACGTTGAATCTCAGCTCATACTCATACACTCGGTTACCTAAATCTCACCCTTCCTTGTGTGAAAAAGCCTCATGGCCCCCGTTTCTGCTGCAGATGGCCGAGCTGCTAGGTTTCAGTGATGAGCACATCCATTTTGGCTCAAGGTTGTCGCGACGTCTGTGACAGGACACATGGTCACGCTGGGCACCGTTTGGCTCAAACCACAGATATCGCATACAATGAAAACGTGAGATACAGATACAGATTAGTCATCGCTGTCTTGCTATGAAAAAGTGTCGCTGTGTGTGTCTATTTCTGACCATGAGGCAAAGAGTAAAGACCTGGAGGAACATGGCTTATCTCCAGCTTTTCTTAGGCTGTGTCTTGAACAGTGGATTATCTCCAGCTTTTCTTAGGCTGTGTCTCCAACAGTGGATTTTTTTTCTAGCCTCTACTCATTACTGCAAAAACCAGAGCAGAGAACAGCTGTAGCACTGGAAAAAAAAAACTTTTTGTAAAATCCCAGTCTTATAACAATTAATCAGGGGAAACTAAGCGTAAGCATAAACAAGTTTATCACCGAGAGGCTTTCGTTTAAATACAGTGATTATGTTGTGCTCCAACAGGAAACTGATGTGATTCCAGACAGGAAGCTGCTTCAGCAGATTAGCAGGAGCCAGGAGAAAGATCCCTACCTGGACTTTTTTCTGGCTCTTGCCATTTGCAACACGGTGGTCGTTTCCATGGCAACAGCTCGGAGACGGAGGGTGAGTGTTCCACTTATTGAGACTGTGGAGAAGATGCTCAGACAGGAGAGAGGAAAAAATGGACCAAGATGTTGTTCAGCATGAAAAAATGAGACAAGGAATAAGTTTTCATCAGGACAACGCTTTAAAATACAATTAATGGTACAATTTAGACTCAACTCGACTACTGAAGGTGCGAAAAAAATTAACACATCTCACGTTGACACATTAAAGCGTCCTGCACCAGGGTTTGACAAGATGAGCTCGGCTCTCATGTCATGCTCATTATCATTTTTTCTTTAAATGCTATTGTGTTTTACAACATTTTGAACATTGAATTAAAGAGGAATGGTAAGAGCAAAATAAAGCCAAAGGAATTTATTGAATTTACTTTTTAAATTTGCAAGAGAACTAAAGGTTTATCTTTCCGTGACTTCATTTTGCAGCCATAGTTTCCATTGTTGTTTGTTATGAACAGTCTGTGATATAAATGCTAATCAGTCACTTCTTTCTAAATACAACACTAAAGTACAAATGTTCTTGTTAGCTGGTTTAATTAATAATTTAATTCAACAACTCTCCTCTTCCTTTTCTCCTTACCCACAGTGATGCTTTTTAATTGCCTGTCATCTTTTAAAGTCCTAGTTTTAAAAGTTCTCTTTTGCACTAAATTAGACACTTTTTTAAAATGAATGCACCACGTTTATACATTTAACTATTAGCTTCCCTGTAAATTTTAACTCAAAGTATGTAATTATACAAACCTAAATAATGCATTTATTGCAATGCTTTGAACAAGTAGGGATTTTGAAGCCAAACCTGCCCCCTATTGTAGCCCTGCATTATGACATTATTACAGGTATGATCAATGTTGTTAAATGTTTGAACAAAACCTTTATCTTGATTAAAAAATGCTGCTTCTTTTTTTTTCAGGCGAGCTGGTTTTCACCCTCAGGCCGAACAAATAATCCCCTGGAAACAGTGTCCACTCTGGTCAAAAAAGTTGGCAGTCTTTTCACCTCCGGGCAAAAACCAATTCATCAACATCTGACCGTCTCCAAGTCCGATATGGTCATAGAAGAGGACGACTTAAGCTCTGAAGGTATAAGAGAGAAAACCGAAGACCTTGATGGGCTTGAAACCTGTTCTCTCCACGCTGCCTCTCCGAGCCACAAGGAGTCAGCAGCCTCAGATAATCTCAGGTATGAGGCAGAGAGTCCAGACGAGGCGGCTTTGGTGTACGCTGCCAAGGCATATGGCTTCACTCTGCTGGCCCGCACCCCTGACAGTGTCACGGTGAGGTTGCCGTCTGGGAAGGACCTCGTCTTTGAGTTAGTGGACACCTTGGCCTTTGACTCCAACAGGAAAAGAATGTCCGTTTTGGTGCGACACCCAATCACAAGAGAGTATGTGCTGTACACCAAAGGTGCGGACTACGCCATCATGGAGCTGCTGGGGACACCATACGCAGGTGTGTAGACATTATTTAAGCATTTTATATGACATGGGGAAAACAAATGAAATGAAGATACAACAAATTGATTCCTGTTGCAGGGCCTAGACATGTACATAAATTAAAACCTTTAATAAGACCATAAATTGTCAGCATGAGAAAACTCTATATTTCATTTATATCAAACTAAGCGTCAGGTCAAGACAAACAGAACGCTCCTTTGCAACCGTTCTATTTCTGTATTTTCATCCATTGTTAGTATCTATCTGATCATGTCAGTCATGACTGGTAACCTTGGGGTAAATCTAATTCAAATCTTTGCTCAGATTCCCCACAGCACTTCATCAAAGGCCAAACATAATAGTTGATCACCACAAAATCGAGTCAGAGATACAGAACAAATGGTTCTTGTCTCTCACTTTTCTCTTCTGAATCTTCCTAAATTCAATGTTTTTTGTTAAGGGAGGCAGAACTGTTTGACTCCATCCAGAACTTCCTCAATGTAAATAATAATAAATGTAATAATACAGTGTAAATGGCTGTATCCTGGTGTAGAACTCTTGAGAGTAATGGGATTAAAATGTGTTTTTTTGCCAATGCATACAATGTTTTGCCAACAACAGTAGTTTTTACATCCTTTCAAATAATATTTATTACATCAATACCTTGCGGAGCAGCTCATGGTAATCTCACTGCTAAAGAAGGATTACTACAGGAAGGTGCTTTGCAAATGTGCAAGTTATTCATTCATTCCTTCATTCTGCATTAGATTAGCATTATTCTGTGCTCTACAACGTTCAGGTTGGTGTCGGAGAGTGGATCAGACTCTGGGTTCTCAGCGCTCTGGTCCATTCTGTGCTGCCTGTTAAAGGTGAAATACATCTGTGTTTTTAAATTCCTTCCAGAGCACTTCAGTGGGAGTGAGAAAAATATAGCATCTGACACTCAGCATCACCTGGACTGCTATGCAAAAGAAGGGCTCAGGACTCTTTGCATCACCAAGAAGGTGCCAATTCACACACGTGAGCAACAGCAGCAAGTTCTCATTCATCAATTGTTACGGGTTTTTATTCTGTCCTTGTGTCGCAGGTTGTAAGTGACAAAGAATATATGAGCTGGTCACTACAGAGACAGAGAGCTCTGGCTGCTATAGAGCAAAGAGAGGAGCTTGTGATGGAAACTGCCGTGCAGCTGGAGACAAATCTGTCTCTACTGGGTAACACATTATACACACACACGCACACACCGTTCTTTACTGTACATTTGTGTGACTGTAGACGTGTGTCCTGCTGTAGGTGCGACAGGCGTCGAGGACCGTCTGCAGGAAAACGTCCCAGACACAATCATAGCTCTGCGGGAGGCGGGGATCCAGGTGTGGGTGCTGACTGGTGACAAGCCGGAGACAGCTGTCAACATCGGCTATGCCTGCAGGCTGCTGGAAGAGGAAGACCTGGTGATTAACATGAGCTGTAAAAACAAGGTGAGGAAGCTGAGCTGTGACTGAGTGACTGCTATTGTACCTGCTGGACCAGAGCTGCTTCATGTGTCTCAAAGAAAATGTTTACAAGTAATTTGAAGAAAGAAAAAAAAAAGAAAGAGGTCTTCAACAAACCTTCTATTTTGACGTTTAAAAACAAAAAGCAACTGTCATTTCATTTTTACTGTGCGTCTGCTTAGAGTGTTTGAATTAATTTGACAGAAGACAAGTCATTAGATCCCACACTACATGTTATTGACAGGGTTGACTCTCCAACGTCAGCCAAGAGCTGTTGGCACCAGTCGTAGCTTGTGTTATGTTTGATTATCATTTAAAAAAAATAAAAATATGTGTGTTTTTCCTCCTCCAACCACAGCCTGCAACAATACACCTGTCACATCCTCCAACCACAGCCTGCAACAATACAGCTGCTTCGTTTTATAAATGATTCACTTAAAAGTGATTTATCAAAATATATATGAGAAAAGAAATAGGAATTATAATTTGATCTCGATCTTGAGTGGCCACATGGTCTTCTTCTGCACTTTTTAACTAAAGGTCAGAGCCTTCACAGTTTGATCTGAGAGTGATACGACTCTAGGTGGGTGCCCCTGTTTCTCTGAGGCCATTAAAGACCAGGGAACACAGGAGCCAGGCCTTATAACAACCTGACCACGTCTAATCATCCCTGGCCCCAAATAGGCCAGAACCACCTGTCGGCTCTAACAGATACTCTGGGATTTTTCTGGAACAGAATGGGCAGCTGTGCTTCCCTCATATTGAATGAACAGAGTGGGCTAACGTGAACACAACACCTCGTGCCTTCACATGTAATTACCAGTCTAATATTCAATCCTCGTAGGAAATACATCTCTATCTCTCGAATCAGAGAGTGGGTGTGTTAGTAATGAACTTTTTTTAACCACACTAACTTCAGTTTCACCTAAGGGATCCACTCCTACGCTGCTCCACCGAGCCCTCCTAATGAAGTTTAGCCAGCCTTAGTGATGACTCTGGTGTTTTTGTCTTTGTTTACAATTTTTTTTTCCCTGCCTGTTTAATTGTGTACTGCGATATTAAAAAATTCAGCATGGCATTTATCAGTTCAAGGACCATGGAAAATAAGCATACGCTTTGGTTTAGTGAGCAGAACATTTACGGATTAGCCCTGTCAGGCTAGCGAGCGCTACTTCAACTTCTGAAGTTATTACTTTTTAAAGGTGCAATATCAAAAGTGGTTGAAAAAAATTTTGTTTGGTGCAAAACTTTGTACTGGTTAAGGTCATAATCATGTCATTATCAGTTGTTGGTGATGGTTATCCACATTAAGGTTTGATGAGAGAAGAAACTGAACTTCCTGAACAGGATTAGAGCTAGGATTGAGTAGATTAGATTCCTAATGTTGGTCAAATGACATCCTGGACAGAAGATTAGTTATAATTGGTATGAGGCAAAAATCCCCACAACTTGATCAGAAAAGTAAATGGAATTTGTTCCACAGGCAGTTTGCACATCAATCCTGGACTGTACTCTGGAGGAGGTGAGGAGATACGACGAAAATCCTCAAAATGTGGACACAACCCCCAACATCTCCCTGGTGATTGACGGACGCACCCTGGTCATGGCTCTGTCGCCAGACCTGGAGAACCGCTTTGTGGATTTGACCAAACGTTGTCGCTCTGTGCTGTGCTGCAGGGTCACACCGTTACAAAAAAGCAAAGTGGTGAAGGTGGTTCGGGAGAAACTGAAGGTCATGACCCTTGCTGTTGGTGAGTAGTTAGTGCATAATTATCACATACGAGGGGGGTTTCCCACTAGTAAACTTTTATTTTATTTTTCAAAACCTCAGTTTTAAAAGGACATTATTTTAATCTGTGTGGTTTAGGTGATGGTGCAAATGATGTAAACATGATCCAAGCAGCCGATATTGGGATTGGGATCTCGGGTCAGGAGGGCATGCAGGTCTGAATGGAGGTCTTCACTTGTCAAATGTTGTAAATTCTTCTTCTGTCCTGGCTGTGAAAGTCATTCGACACCTGCCTCTCCGTCTGCAGGCAGTCATGGCAAGTGATTTCGCCATCTCTCGCTTCAAACACCTGAAGAAGCTCCTCCTGGTTCACGGACACTGGTGCTACACACGTCTGGCCAACATGATAATCTACTTCTTCTATAAGAATGTGGTGAGTGCTGGAGCTGCTTCACTGTTCCCCTCCCTGATTGGATGTACTGCTTAGATTCTCCATTCATCTGCAGTCCCACCTGTTTCTCAGGCCTACGTGAACCTGCTCTTCTGGTATCAGTTCTTCTGCGGCTTCTCCGGCACAGCCATGATTGACTACTGGCTGATGATTTTTTTCAACCTTTTCTTCACCTCTGTGCCACCCATCATGTATGGAATAATGGACAAAGATGTTTCTGCAGAGATACTGCTGGGGCTTCCTGAGCTCTACAGGACGGGACAGGGCACGGGGGTCAGTGACATAACAGTCAAGTGTCAAAGAGTCACATTTTACCTCAATTGACTTTTCTGTCTTAACATGAAAATTAAATGGAGAAAACTATGTTTAATCTAGTATTACTATTTTTTACCAGTGACATTAGCAGTAAGATATGTTAATTATGCTGATATGGAGGTCATTGATAATAAATACTAAAATAGTAATACTCATTACCAAAATGTTGTTGAGATAACACAACAAAATAGTTAAATCTTCTCCAATATTGTACAGCACATGAATAAAACAAACTGATAATATAAATACTAAAATAAAACATTATAAAGCATGTAACACTGATGGCTCATTGCCAAAAGCTAAAAACTAAGACACTTTCTGTGGGGGAAGAAAATAAACATCCAATGTTTTAGATAGAATTATGTTTTTGTTTTGTTTTATTTAAATGTGTTTGACGTTATAGGAGTACAACTTCTTCACTTTCTGGATCTCCATCTTGGATGCCTTTTATCAGAGCCTGGTGTGTTTCTTTATCCCGTACCTGGTGAGAGAGACGTCTTCACACTGTAGAATGATGGCTCCACTATCACCTCCCCTCTCAATTATATAACACTGAAGATTCTCTCTCCCTCAGGTGTATGTGGATTCAGACGTTGGTCTTTTCACATTTGGAACACCTTTGAACACAGTTTCTCTGTTCACTATCCTTTTGCATTTGTCAATAGAGATCAAATCTTGGGTGAGTGCACAACTTTGTATCAGTATTTATTTTAAATTAATAAAAATTTACAATTTTGTAAATATCTAATTTACTTATATTATTAATTGACATATTATATTATTTGTGGCCTGTGTGACAGACGGTGGTCCACTGGATAATCCAGGTGGGGAGTGTGGCCCTGTACTTCATTGTAACACTGGCCTACAGCGCCATCTGCATCACCTGTAATCCTCCATCCAACCCATACTGGATCCTTCAGAGCCAGATGGCCGACCCCATGTTCTATCTTATCTGCATCATCACAACTGTGGTGGCCCTGCTGCCAAGGTATGATCAGTGGAAACATCCCAGAGTGTTACTCAGTGTGGAAAAGTGACACACTGTGGGCTGATTGTGCCTCTAATTTTTCATGATTAGCTAATCTTGGCAGAAAAATACAGAAATCAGGAACAGCCTGGGTCAAAATGACCTTAGAGTGTCTATGATGAGGATCTTGGGACAAATGTTTTGATTTCCTCTTTTAGAAAATTATAACTAAATAAGGCAAAACCTGCAGGAAATAGTTGGACGTTTGCTAGAGGCACGATACATTAGGTAATATACACCAATGGAGATGAGGCAGTTGCAGAAATATATATACATAAACACACGTATATACGTATACTGTTCTATATATATGTTTGTATATGTGTATATATATGTAAATGTATTTAAATATATACACACTAACAAACACAGCTTCACAAAATCTCTTTACAAAAATGTAAATTTCTTGATTTATATTGTAAACTTCTTCTAATACCTACATCTTTGAGGGGCATCTAAACCACAGAGCTTTATCTTTATTTCTTCTTAGACCATAGTGAGACACATGTGGATGTTTTGCAGTAAATGCGCAGCTCTGTGTTGTTTCTGAATCCTATTGTAGCCACGCCAGAACACCCTGAGGAAGTTTTGAACAGGAAGCTAACCTACATACCATCTGTCATTAATTAACAGCTTTGGTATTCATATGACATATGCTCTGCACCTGTGTTTCTGTGTAAAAATAGACCTCTTGTGGAGAACATGTCATCTTCATGAATTGGCACGTGTTATGTTTTGCTATTTTTAGCTAGTGAAGCAACTGTGTGGTGAATTACGTACATTTCATGAAATGACATGGAACGTTTTGCTTTCTCTGGTGTCAAGGGGAGAAAAGCAACAACTAAATAACTAAAAAAAGGTCTAAATATGGTGATTAGATCTTACTATGTAATTAAATTAATTATTAAAAAAAAAAATGAAATGAAATTATTTTGACCGGAAATTATTTTAACCGGTTAAACCAGAGTAGTTATTTTATGGTGTGTTTTGATGCTTGAGAACATTTTAAAGATACCTAAAAACATTTTAAACATCCCTTAATTTATGGACAAGTTCATCAAAAATGTTTTTTTATGTTTAGTCAATAATTACATTTTTTTTATTTCCAATACATTTATATAGAGTTAGACTTTTTTACAGAGCATCACTTCATCTCAATTGATTAGAATAATGATATCATTAGCGTATCAGTTTTAACCCATGCACATCATTGACGTGGAAGTTCCACAGCACAGACTGATTTTGAATGAGATAACGTAGACCATATACGTCAGGAGGGACTGCACTGCAGCTGCTTTCTTTGTTTCTGTGGCTAATGCTGCTGAAAGTGCTGATATTTAGAGGGAATGCTCTGATTTACATCAAAGCCCTGAATATTTTTCTCTGGCCTACTTTCTCACCAGCATGCTGTCTCCCTCAGGTACATGTTTCACGTGATAAAGAACTCTATCGCCCCCTCACCACTTATACAAGCCAAGCTTCTGGACCGGCTGGACCCCTCCGCCAGAGAGAGGTGCATCAGGGAGTGGAGGAGTTTTAGGGGTGGAGTGCATTTGGAAGATTCCAGGTCCTCTACACCACCCTCTCCAGCCCTGGAGATCCCTGTGGAAATGTATACCAAGTCCACTGGTGCCGCTGAACTAATGGAAGACGAGTTTGTACTGAATGTCATTACAGACAACTATCTGAGACACAATGGCCCAGGGACCTGAAGGGCAACAGCAGCGTGAAGCTAATTATTTATTCTGAAAACTGTAAATACTCCGAAGTGGTTTTTTCCCACGCTGTGGAGAGGTACGTCTCATTTTCTGGGGGTGGATATACAGACAGAAAATCCTCTGTTTGATTTGTGACAAAACATTGATGAAGGTGATGAGTTCATTTGTTATATATAAAAAAAAAAGTACGACAAACACCATTAGAGCACTTGCCTCGTTCTCCTCGGTACAACACACTGGAAGCAACTAATTTAAATCTGGAACTTTCCTAATAGGATTTCAGAGTAGAGTTGAATCCCAATAAGCCTGGAAACCAACCAGAATAAAATGCACAGCTGCAATGTGATAGAAACAATAAAGTTGGGATGGAGATGTAAACATTGGTTGTTTAAGGTAAGGTTTAAAGATGAGGTATGAGGATGCACAAATGATAGTAAGTCAGTGCAGAATCCTAATAATTAGAGCCACATCGTTGTGTTGTGTGAGTGTGAGCTCTTGCTTACGTCAGATTGAAAGGACTGGATTGAAGCTTACGTCAGATTGAAAGGACTGGATTTTTTCCTATTGTTATGATGACACCATGACCTTGTAAAGAAATTGTGCAGAACTATATTTGTCAGTTCAAGATTAGATTTAAGGCTCCGGTTATTCCAGAATTAGTGTTAGTTTAGTGTTCGGGCATCTTTATCCTGTGGCTAAGGTTCAGGTAAGGTAGAGATAGGAAATGCCTGTAGGTCTGTATTTGTGTGTTTGTAGTCGTCTCAATAAATGTTAGGTCTAACACCACACACCTGAAATGGTAATGTAGGTAAAAAAAACCGCTCCTGAGAAGAACAAGTTCTGTTAGTTTTCTAGTGGAAATGGAGTGTGCACACTTGCTAAAAGGGCTGACTTATCATTGGAATAGGCCTGCTTCATTATACAGCTCTGCTTACGTAACGTCCCACTGTGTCCTCTTGGATCAATGCTGCACTCTAGTGTTCCTAAGGTGGCGCTGCAGGAAGGTCAAACGGGACAAAGTCGTAAAAAGCGGTGCGAATGCAATCAAAATGGAGCAATAAAACACCACACGTTAAAGTTAATGGAATACATTAGAGTTAGATTTAAACTCCTAACTTAAAACATATGTTTAAAAAGCAAATTTTGAACGCATCAAATTAGTTTTGATTACTTTTTACCAAAGAAATGATGTCCTAAATCCTCAATTGCTTTTCAACTGTGTTTCTAGTGAAAGCTGACAAAATCTGATAGAATGTTATGAATTATTTTATCAAAACTGACTGTTTTGGCCGGCTAACAGCTATGGGGAGGCTAAAACCAACTTCGACTAATGAACCCTAAGTAGCATGGCATTGTGTTTACAGTATTTGGAATCCTAACGATTTTTAAATGGATAAAGGATGGTTATTTCAAGTAAGTTCAAGTCTTTTAGTCCTATACACCTGAAAATTATCAAATGTGTTTTGAATCCACTTTTAATAGAATATAAAACAACAACAAAGACATTAACATTTTATAAAACCGATGACGTAGAAGAATGTAAATACTATCAAATAATGAGAACACAATAAAAATAGATATAACAAAAGCTAGCGTGTGGCAGGTCTACAGCCTAATACGCAAAAGGAGTGAGCAGTGAGTGACTCAGCTTTCAGAATAACTTAAGTTGTTGTTCAAAGTTTCACATGACGTCATCATTGTGTTGAAGCAAAGCTGTATTTTCACAAAACAGTTGGACAGAAACACATGAAAATGGAAATAGATGATGAAAATGACACGGACAGAAACACATGAAAACGGAAATAGATGATGACCATGAAAATAACAAATGAATAATAAATCTTTTAGTAGAACTACGACATCAACACAGCAAAAGTAACTCAATTTTGTACAGCTAATTTACAGTTTAATACATGGGAAAATCCTGGGCGTTTCAACACAGTCCTGTTATACAAAATGACAAAGCTCTGCCAGTGAAGGGTAAACAGTCAGAAAATGTGTCCATGTCGCCTCAAACTACTTGTTTCCTTCGTACTGACAGTGTTCATTCACCCAGTACAACTGTGAGTTGTTGAAGGTGCCAGATTTCTCCTGCGCCAGCTCTACCAGGTGGGCATCATATCAGGGAACCAAATGCGGCCCAGATGTTTGGACACTTCACTGTGGATCTGCTCCATGTTGTAGCTGCTGTCTGGGATCAGCACCTCCTCCATGATTGACAGCTGAGTCAGCCTGCCACCGCACATCTTCACAAACTCCACAAAGCCACTGCAGGTCACTTCACACTCACCCAGGCCGATGGCAGTCAAGCTCTTGCATCGTTCGGCGATACGTATCAACTCCTCGTCCAGGGGCTCTAGACCGTTGGCACACACCACCAGCTCCACCAGACGGGGGCAGTTGAGTCCAATACGGCCCAGCATGTCTTTGCTAACCGCCCGGCCAAAGTATAGGTGGGTGACAGGTGTTTCCTCACGGAAAAAAGGTTCAAACTCTTCCTCGTAGAGAAAGAAGTACATGACGATGTTGACCTTGGGCGAGTGTCGGACCAAGGCCTCCCAGCTGCTCTTTTTGATGGTGTGAAAGTGTGTCTGGCCGGGGTTTTCGCTCGCCACATCAATGCGTAGGTGCTCAAGGTTCACGTGTTTTTCTGATGAAAGAGCAAGAAGGAGCTCGTCACTCAGGAGGTGGTAGTTTAATGCCAGCTCTCTCAAACCATGGCACTGGTCTGCCACACACAGGATCCCTATGGAAAGAAAATTAGGAAATGATGGTAAATACAGTGTTCAAGAAATGTTTTGATGATACCTGTATTCCTCCATTCAATAGAACAGGGTTTTGTTTTTGTTTTTTTTAAAGCTTTATTAAGATTAACCATGTCAGTATTTCTCAGAGTATTTCACAGTATGTGCAGTTTATCGGAGCGTGTAGTGCTGTAGTTGTAGCTGTGGATTTGACGTTCCTGCTCTATGATTGCATCTCCTCTTCCCTCTTGTGCACTTGGTGCAGACTTATAAAAGCCTAACGGGGAGACACAATAACAAAACAAAAGAGGTATAATGACCTGCTGGGGAGACATGAGGACAGCTGCTCATCTTCAGCAACTTAAGTGTGTCACTGTTGTTGGCAACCAGCACCTTTAAGGAAGGGTCATCCACTGGAGTGTCATCAATCTTGATGGAGGAGAGGGACTTGGAGTTGACAAACACCACCGTCAGTGCAGACACGAAGTGCGACTGAGGACGAGAGGGAAAATCAGGACACTGACACGAAGTGCGACTGAGGACGAGAGGGAGAGGGAAAATCAGGACACTGGTACATATGGTGTATATATACTGTATATACATATGTATATATATATATAATACATAGATGCTGTTATCTGCATATAGAGTACTGCAAAGTTATCCAACAATATACCACATTTTTTTAACTGCAGTGAATATATTTAACGTATAGCGTATAGTATAGTATGTGTGTTATTGTAAACCTCAGACTGCAGTGAATATATTTAACGTATAGCATATAGTATATGTGTGTTATTGTAAACCTCAAGTAAACAGTCAATACATGGCGCTAACGTACATGACGTGTGTTACAGAACTATTTGTGTAACTTGGGGCAGTAACCAAAGTGTTGACAGGTGTGCGTGAAAAAACAGTAGCTGCCTTTTACCTGAGACACATCCATAAAGCTGGGTCGCGCTGTGGAAATCAGCCCCAGGGTTTTAATGGTACAGTTCACCAGCTGGGAGAGAATGTCACAGGCCGCCTCTGCAGATTCTATGCAGCTGTCCACCTGATTTACCAGAGAGTGAGTCACCGTTAACATCCAGCAAAAACAGGCATAGAAATAAAAATATGGAGAGATGGAGGTGTTAGAGTCATTTCAGCCTGGATGTGTTAAATCTGTTGATGATAACCCAGCTGAGGTGTCATGGCTGACTCTGTGGCAGGTGGTTTGGATTAAGGAGGGCACACATTGTTTTTTCGAGGTGCTGCGTTGTGAAATTGGAGGAGGAGGCCAAAGAAAGTGAAATGAGAGGAGGAATAGGTGACAGCAGGAGACTTTTACCTTAAAGCTAACATACTGCAGGTGCTGGGCGTGCTTCTTGATGATCTGCTGAATAAGGTCAGGGTGAGTGGAGCGCAGGTATGATGTGGCCGGCTGGTTGAGCTCAAACTCGAACCTCCTCCACAGGTCAGGGGTGTGAAAGACATCATTCCAGCGACGGCACACAGACGATGCCTTGGCCCGGTCTATCAGTGACAGATGCTGGAATATCTGCAGGACCACATGGTGGGGCAAGTTTCCCCAGTCTTCGGTGTAGGACTGGGCACAGCCAGACGTAGCCTTCTTCTGTCTGTTAGCCCGCTTCTCGTGGGCGGAGAACGCCGGGCACTTAGACTGGAGACCTGTTTGTCCTCGTTTCATCTTGAAAATGGTCAGCTCCCTGAAGAAATAAAAGTTAGAGTTACAAACTAACCTAACCACAGCGATAACACAAGAGTTGAACTTTTTTGTCCTTTTATCAGACAAATAAAAATTCAAGTGTATTTTTAAATTTGAGATTTAAATTCCACTGGCTTTCTAGAACCTTCCAACTATCTCAAATGCATGGTTTATTTTAATTTACATTTTTTCCTTTTCTTTGTTAGGTCAGACACATTAAGAATTTTAATCCTGAGAATAACAGCTCATCAATTTAAAAAAAATGACCTAAACTGCAGTAAAGGAAAATACTTTAGAATAACAGCTCATCAATTTAAAAAAATGACCTGAACTGCAGTAAAGGAAAATACAATCTTTTTTGCAGCTGACACAACCTGCAGTTTTGATCAGTGATCAAATGCTGGACTTAAATAAATATAAAACAATGGAAAAACTCACCCCAAAGGCTGATAAAGCAACACTGATGAAAATAAATGCTGAAGCCTTGTTACTGCGTTATCCCCCGCTCGTCTGAAGGCGATATTGAGCTCAGGCTCATTATATACTCATGCAGTTTATTTGCATGCATGAATCACTGATCTCAAACCTCCGTCTCATCCTCTCCATGTCATTATTTGAAGAATGAGGTTCATAAATGCCGATTGGCGATTTCCACAGCATCCCACTCCTAATCTGATTCTGGGTGACAGTCAATTTTTTTGTTTGTTTGTTTGTTTGTCAAATTTGTTAAAAAATAATATGTCAATGAATTCTGCTCACACTGAGTTTTTTCTAACTCCACAAATAATTTTTGTTTTACCTACAGACAATGATGTCATCATCTTTCAGCATAAGTAAATAAATTTGCATGAACACTTTCAGAGGATATATAAAAACTTTGTATCCACTATGTTTTAGTACATTAATAATCAGAGCAGGCACAATGTTTGGGTGACCATGAATCACTTACATATGTAAAAAAATAAACTTTGTACAGGCACACGCCCTGTCAAAAAACAACCTGTGTTTAGTTCTTATCACTGCTCACTAACGATAAAGAGGAATTGTCTTCTGTTTAGTTCTTATCACTGCTCACTAACAAGAGGAATTGTCTTAATTTTATTCTTTCATTTGTTATTATAATGTAATGTATTTATAGTTTAGCTATATATATAATTAGATAATTTTGTTTGAAATGTGAACAATTCGAGATCTCTCACACACACTTATACAGTCAACATCAAGACCCTGCTCTGTAACTCTCTGAAGACCACTTCACTGACCTGTACACATAGAATTAAAATAAAACACACACAGAAAAACCCAATGATACTCACAGGAAGCAGTTAAAAACCACTAACCTCTCAGACCCTGTGCTGTTGAAGACATGACTGAAGCACGGCTGAGGACAGACAGGCTGAATGGGGCTGATGTAGGGCAGCAGGAGATGCTCCCATAATAAACTATCCTCTCAGCTTTAGTAGCAGCTCAACTGGCTCTGGTACACGTGAGTCAAGGGAAACATGGAACTGCTGTTTGGTCACATTCAGCCAGGATCTAAAAGAGGACAAGTGAAATGTAATACAGGGAAACATTCACTGAGCAAATGTGTTGTAATACAGGGAAACATTCACTGAGCAAGTATGACTTCCGTCCTAAACAAATGTCAGTTTGAATTGATTTGCGCTCATTCACTTAGGTTTAGTTTGTTTATGTTTGTTTGGTCATTTGTGGGTGTGTGGGGATACAAGATACTCAGAGCTCAGCCATTGAGAAAGTAGGTCAGCGTGTCATCCTTAGTGTGTGTGTGTTTATTGTAACCTTAGCAGCTGTTTAGTTTGGTTGGTCATATTTCCCTTTTGTTATCTCCATGTTATTTTGCGTTGCTTCTTGTTTGACTTGTTTGTAACTGAACTGTAGCTGTCTAAATAACCTAAATTGTCCATTGACTTACAGACTGCGGAATTGTGTAGAAACTGGGGTTCTTTAATTTGTTTTTGATTTTTCTAGGGTTAAGTCCGACTTAAATAAGTAAATGTAATGCGAGTCAGGGTTATACAACAGCTGTCAGTCTGACACAGGTTTTAACCGCCTTGAAGACCAAATGCAGGGTGCCTTTACCCATGACTACACTGTGGCTGTGACGTTACGTATAGCTCCACCCCTTTGAGGAGCAACCGTCAGTCACGTCGGCGTGCGAATGGGAAACAAAAACAGGCTCCCTTTAATTGAATTTAATGTCGAGAGCGGTCGGCAGGATTTTAGTTCGTCAGACGCCTGTGTTCGCGATTGTGAGGAAGAACGATGTTGGAGACGGACAGTACCGCTGTTCTAAAGGAAGGAACAGAAAAGGCTAATTAGCCTGTTAGCCTCTGTGAGCCCCTAGGTGTGACAGTCTACTCCGACAGTCTACTGCTAGCTGCTTCTGATTTCCTCCAGATTAAGGTAATATATTTGTAAAATATGACATAACATTTTTTCCAGAAAATGGTAGAGGACATATTCATCAGTAACTGTTGGCTAAATATAAAAGTCTAACCTAAAGTTAAGCTTCCGAACTACCTAGTCTTTGGTTGAATCGGAAGTAAATGGGAAAGCAACTGGAATCCACAGGTCAACACATCTGGGAATTCGTTAAAATTAGACTGTTCAAAGTCTACGCTTTTATCGTCGACGTGACGGATGATACACCCGAGGCAACTTAATCTGGGGGTTTATTTTTAACTTGTTTTTACAAGTGTTACAAGCAAATGAGTTTTCTGTAAAGATAACATGATGGCGTTTGATGAAATGATCACGCAGATCTCTTTGCTTCAAAGTGTCAGCCACGTTGGCATCTGATCATGTTGACAGGAATATCTTTAGTTCAGTATTTGTGCTTAAAATATTGACCACATATATGAAGACGTTATCCTTCTTCGTAGTTCATTGGCAGTTCCTTTCCTCTTTCCACTTGAAAAGCAGATAAAACATTGTGTCAATAGATAACTATTAACTAAGTTGGTTATCACACCATGTTCTAGACTCTACCTGAAAGAAAATAGGATCGTTGTTTTGCTAGACTTTTCCGGCTTCCTCCCGCGATCCAAACACATGCAGAATTTGATAACATGGACTCTGTAAACTTTCCTAGGAAAGTAAATGCTTGTTTGTGTTTGGATGGTCAAAAAGTTCTAAGACGGATGTTATTATTTTCGACAAGTAAAACACGTTCAGACACATCTCCGGTGCATTTGCCAAATTGTTTTGACAAGTTTCATCACTTTTCTTTTTCGGCCAAGCTTTGAACTACCTAACATTTTTTTTGATCAGGTTACTCAACCCATGAAAATAAAAAATGAGGATGTAGCGGTAGGAAATTGATGAATGAATACAAAAGTTATTATATTATAGTCTGCCAAATGAGGAAATAAAAACCCTGTTACAAATGTCTCGGGTTAAAAGAGAAATTCAATAATTTGTAGTCATCGTTTGCAGAATAATCTAATTACCCTTTTCTTTGTTACAAAATAGTTTTGGATGCATTCAATGAAGTCAATAAACTTCACACTATTTGTGTTTTTTTTTAGATACAACCATGGCATGGGAAGTGTACTCAGTGTCCCTTGGAGTGGATGGAATGACCTGTCATTCCTGTGTCCAGTCCATAGAGCAGCGCATTGGCTCTCTGCCAGGGGTGATACATATAAAGGTAAATGGTGTCATTGTACATATAAGGAAACACTTTTCACTCGTGGCATTTAAGCTTCTTTTCTTTTTTTCTTTTTTTTTGTCAAGCTTCCGTTCTTAATACTTGCTGACTCAAAAATAATTCTCAGCTTGTGACTTCTATTTATAGAAAAACAGGATCTAAAATTTTAAGTGTCATGCTGATTCAGTCTGGTTTACACCAGGAAAAAGTACAGATGTGTAAAACCACTTCTATTAAATTAGGCTCTCTGCCCATAATGTAATGCAGTTTGATTAACTCTAAGATAATCCAATTGTTTGTGACTCACTTGAGCCTTGGGAAACTCATGAGCTGTGGCCTGTTGTTTTGTTCTTGGTATGTTTACCCCTCGGGCTGTGGTAAAATGAGAGGATAATTTGATAGTTTTTTGCAGATTGAGCTTTGACCTTTTCAGGGTTCAGACAGTGGCTCTAAATGCTGTTTATACCTATAGTAAATGCCCTTTAAGTCTTCAGCGAGAGTAACGTCTGTGTCATTTAATGATAATCTGAAAAGACTAGATCTGGTTAGAGTTTGATCCAATTCTCCTTTTTGTAATTGTCTCATTGAAAACTCTCTTTTTATTTCACCCAGACCCAGTGCTTTGTAACTTACAGCCCAGTCTGGTGATCCCTTAAGTTTGTCACATGTTTGCCACTGGCGTTTTAGGGGAAGGGTGAAAGGGGGGCTGGGGGGGGGGGGTGACTCTCTTTCACTGCTGACTAAACCTGTTATGTTTGCAAAGCCTGTCTCCACTTCCTTTACAATGAAGAGACATACAATTTTGTTTTTACAAAGCAAACGATTGCTGCCGCCTGACATAGTGGGAGCCCTGCAGTGTATTACTAGCTAACTAGTTCAATTTCTATGTTAAACATGTTTGTTTTAACAGCTTAAGACTGTTGAGCTGGAAGATCTTTACTTCTGAAATGGTTGTTAGCTTGTTTAAAAAGGTTGAATGAAAAAGCCCTGTTTTTGTTACGAAGAAATCAATTTACTATTTGACTTTCCTCTTATTTCTCAGGTGTCTTTAGAGCAGAAACTGGCCACAGTCACTTTTGACCACAATCAACAAAGTCCTGACTCTCTGTCAGTGGCCATTGAGGACATGGGCTTTGAATCTAGCCCCTCACAGTCCATCAAATCAACACAGGTCTCCACAGACACCCACCTGATACCAACCTCAGGCCTAACACTTTCAGGTCAAAAGGAGGCTTTAGAGATGCTCTCACAGGTGAAGGGAGTCCTGGATGTCAGCAGGACCACGGGGGAGACGGCTCTGTCTGTCACCTTTGTCCCCTTCCTCACTTCAGCTCTGCAGTTGACGGAGTTGGTGACCAGCTTTAAAAAACTGACTGAGGTTCCCACACCCAACTGCCCTGATCCAAAAGCCCCAAACCTGTACCGGTCTCAAGAGAACGGGGGAGGAATGTCCATCATGAAAATGAACATCGAAGGAATGACGTGCCACTCCTGCACCAACGCCATCGAAGGGAAGATCGGGAAACTGAAAGGGATTGAAAGGATCAAAGGTGATGTCAATAGAAAATGTTGTAATACAGTCGCTGAGCGTTTCATGTGGAAATGCACGTTTCACAGGTCAAAGGTGTCGCAGGTGTCCTTGTGAATAGCAGCTGCTGAGACTGCAGAGCCATCCCTGCCCACCAGCTTAGTGGATTTAAACCATGACTCATTAAATCTTTTTGCTGGCAGTGTAACATGGTGTAATGTGAACGCGGAGCACGTTATTGTGTATGTGGAGGCTGTTGAGATTTTACTGCAAACACTGCCTTGTTTATTCAAGAAATGTTATCCCTCTGGAATCATTTTATGGTTTATAATTTGACAAGAGAGTTTGCAGGAGTAGTAGGTGCTGAATTAACTTGTTGGCAAATAACACAAATCAAGCTCTTTGTTAAAACCGTGTCTATTGCTATTGTATTTATAATGGGACTTTTGTATTCTTTCTCCCACAGTTGTGTTAGAGTCTCAGGAAGCTACCATCATGTACCAGCCTTACCTCATCACTGTCCAAACTATTATAGACCAGATTGCTGGGGTCGGCTTCAAGGCTGTTGTCAAATCCAAACCTCGCCCTTTCCAGTTTTCCTCTAATGAAATTGAATGTTTCCTCGATTCACAAAAGACGTCGGAGACTGCAGGGGAGACTGCAGAGGACATTTTTGTAGACTTAACACTTGTCATGCTCAGGGTCAAAGGCATGCACTGCCATTCCTGTGTGATCAATATCCAGGACAACATCTCCACACTGCCCGGGGTATCGTCCGTGGAAGTGTCTCTGGAAAAGGAAAAAGCTTCAATCTGCTACGACTCACTAAAAATCACAGTGCCTCAGCTTCAGCGGGCGATTGAATCACTGCCTCCAGGAAACTTCAAGACTCTACCCTGGGACTCCACGGGTCCTTTAAGCCCCGTCTCCATATCACCCATACCTGCCTTATCATCTGCAGAAAAAGCCAAATCTACATCTTCTGCTTTAAAGCCTTGTTTCACACAACCTCTGGCATCTGTAGTTAAAATCCACATTGAAGGCATGACCTGCCAGTCCTGTGTCCAGTCCATCGAAGGCATGATATCCCAAAGGAAGGGGGTGGTCTCTGCCCATGTCTCTCTGGCTGAACATCAGGGGACATTTGAATATGACCCCCTTCTGACAACACCAGAGGAGCTGAGGGAGGCTGTGGAGGACATGGGCTTTGATGCTTTTTTACCTGGGGGCTAGAGAAGATTGTTTTTCTTTTTTTTCTTTCTATTCACAGTGTAGAGCAAAGCCCATTGTTTCTCTCTGGTTAAATGAATTGCACATAATTAATACCTCATCGTCTTGCCTTTCTACTCTTGACGCCAAAGCTGACTACAAATGATACCTTCCTTTAATTACTGTAATTTGTTTTTGCTCAGCTTCCAATTCACTGCTGCCTTTGCCAGAACCAAGTTTCTCCAAAGCTACACGTCAAACGCTGGTGAAAGACACGGAGATTGACAGTGACTTGTACAAAGATAAACTAGAGGGAAGCGACAAGGAGAAGAAATCTAAATGCTTTATTCAGATTGGTGGAATGACCTGTGCGTCCTGCGTGGCCAACATTGAACGAAACCTTAAGAATGAGCACGGTATGTTCTTTAAAAATAAAATAAACACCAAGAATGAACTGTTTGTTTATCATGAACAATGTCTAATCACAACCAGGTATTCACTCGGTGCTGGTGGCACTGATGGCGAGTAAAGCTGAAGTGCGGTACAACCCTGATGTCATAGACCCTCTGAAGATAGTGGAGTGTGTGAAAGAGCTGGGGTTCACTGCCTCTGTGATGGAGAACTACGAAGGCTTGGACGGAAACCTAGAACTAGTGGTGAGTTTATGTGACGTCCGTTACTGTAGCAACAATACATATCCAAAATAAAATACATCCGTAAGTGTCTCAACCCCCTGGGTGGAGCTCAATTTATCAGTAAACAACATCTGATGTTATTACAGTCTATAAATGGACCCTCTCTGAGGTTTAAGTGCTACAGTCATAGCTGTTCATGACAGAATTTTTAAAAAAGATTATGGACAGTCATGATGTCATGTTTGTATAACGATCATGGATTAACAGCCATTTCCTATTAGACAAAACTGACTTCAGTAGACAAGTGAGATTTATATTTTTCTTGTCCATTGTTCTTCTTCCTTTGCTCTCAGGTGAGGGGGATGACGTGTGCCTCTTGTGTTCATAAAATTGAATCCAGCCTCATGAGAGAGAAGGGCATTATTTACGCCTCTGTGGCCTTGGCAACCAACAAGGCACATGTGAAGTATGACTCGGAAATTATCGGGCCAAGAGACATCATCAAGCTGATTGAGGTACTGTCGCTCTCCCTGTGGTGCTTTTCATGCCAAAAAAAAATAAAAATTTTGACGTCATAATTTCTGGGCTCATTCTTTGATAGAATCTGGGCTTTGAATCTTCCTTGGTGAGGAGGGACCGCACTGCCAGTCACCTGGACCACAGCAAAGAGATACGACAGTAAGAGACTGGAGTATAAATCTTTGTTTTTTACATATAAATACAGGATTGCTATATTTATTCAAATCACTGGTTCTCTGTCTACGCTTTTCTGCCCAAGCATTTGAAACCACCCTGTTGTTTTTAATGGTGACATTATAGTTTACGAACACTGCCATCATGCTACAGTGTGAATGGTCTACGTCCCTGAAGTGACACTTATGGGCAGAAGAAGACGTGACATCACATGCTATGTTTGAGGAAGTAAATATAGCAGCTTGACAAGTTAGCATGTGTGTCTCAATTCAAAGTTGTTTTGCTAGGACTGGGATTTTCCTGTAAGCCCGCTGTAAAAACACTTAATAGTTTTATGTTTAGACAGTCCCATAAATGGTTCCCTCCAGTTCTTTACATACAGCGTGTGTAAATCATTACCCACAACTGTAACTTAACTAGAAATTGGCTAATCCTCCACAGTCGATCAATAACCAGCTTCACTTGAGAAGTCAGTGAGTTTTCCAGAGAACAACTTTACTTTAAATTAAACTGAGAAAAAGGCTGTACTGTGATTAAAATTGGTACAAAGTTTATTAAACCTTTTTCTTTTTTTTAGGCCATTAGAAACTGGCTTCTTTGAATTTTGTGGTGATTAATTGCAGTGTTTTGTTCCAACTCATTACATCCACTTTGATTTTGATCATTATGACACAGTAAATGTGTTCATTTTCTCTTCTTTCTTTTTTTTTAAAGGTGGAGGAAATCCTTTCTGGTCAGCTTGATATTCTGCGTGCCCGTGATGAGCATGATGATTTACATGATGATCATGGACCATCAGATGAACGTTTCACACCATCACAATGCCACAGTGGAGGACCGTAACCATTACCACTCTACCATGTTCCTGGAGAGGCAGCTGCTCCCAGGCCTCTCCATCATGAACCTCATCTCCTTCCTCTTCTGTGTCCCTGTGCAGGTGAACCAGAGCTAGACACACTAGACATGATGTCAAACTTTCACCAGACATGTATTCAGAGCTGGGAGCCTGAGAGAAATACTTGTGGTCTATTCACTGAAATTATTATTTTCCAGTTTATCGGAGGCCGTTACTTCTACGTTCAAGCCTACAAAGCGATCAAACACAGATCTGCCAACATGGACGTCCTAATAGTTCTGGCTACGTCCATAGCCTTCAGCTACTCACTAATTGTCCTCATAGTGGCCATGGTGGAGAAAGCCAAAGTCAACCCCATCACCTTCTTCGACACACCGCCCATGCTCTTTGTGTTCATCGCTCTAGGACGCTGGCTGGAACAGATCGCCAAGGTTCAAAGCTTTTTTATTATTATTATTATTTATCATTACCACATTTTAATGTGTCTTTTAGAAGTCCTAAAAATCTACTAGAATTAAAAAAAAATGAAATGTTCTGTTTCTATCTTCCATCCAGAGTAAAACGTCAGAAGCGTTGTCCAAGCTCATGTCTCTACAGGCTACTGAGGCCACAGTGGTCACTCTGGGCAGTGACATGTCTATTATCAGGTGCGTCATAACATTTGAAGTGTATGAGAATGAAAACTGAAACTGTAAATAAGATACATGTCGTGTTTATTCATTGGAAAAAAACGAACCAACATTATTTCCAGTTTTTATAGAAACTCAATCTCCTGTCTGTCTGTTCAGTGAGGAGCAGGTGGATGTGGAGCTGGTGCAGAGAGGTGACACCGTCAAAGTCGTCCCCGGAGGGAAGTTTCCGGTGGATGGGAGAGTCATCGAGGGACAGTCGATGGCTGATGAGTCTCTAATCACAGGTCAGTTTCTGTGGACTTGGTACTATTTCTATAAAATATATACACGGTATTTTCACACACTGTAAAAAAAGTTTTCATTTTTTTTCCAAGCACCTGAAGCTTAAAACACCATCTCCTCACATGAGCAGCCGCTGCCTCGTCCTGTTGTCTGTTTTCTCAGCAGCTGTTTCTCTGTGACTACAGGTGAAGCCATGCCAGTGACTAAGAAACCTGGGAGCATTGTGATCGCAGGCTCCATTAACCAGAACGGCTCTCTGCTCATCACTGCTACACATGTGGGCATGGACACCACCCTGTCTCAGATCGTCAAACTAGTGGAGGAGGCGCAGACTTCGAAGGTACTTTTTTAAAAATTTTTCTACGCCGTGTCTTTGTGATTCGAGGCTCATCGTAGTTGAAGGTGTAAGACATCTGACACCTTGTATTTCAGGCTCCCATCCAGCAGTATGCTGATAAGATCAGTGGCTACTTTGTACCTTTCATTGTTGGGATATCTGTCCTCACGCTGCTCGCCTGGATCGTCATTGGCTTCTTGGATTTCTCACTAGTGGAGGAGTATTTTCCTGTGAGTCTGACTGTTTTCTACCCTCTTCTGCGTAGCATCAGCAAGATTTACTTTTATGCTATTTTTTTTAAATCACATTTAAACATGATTTGTGTCTCCAGTGATTGTAATTGATTTGAACAACATACATCTGTAACTTTCCTCCACCAGGGTTACGATAAGAGCATTTCCAGAGCGGAGGCAGTGATCCGCTTCGCCTTCCAGGCCTCCATAACTGTGTTATGCATCGCCTGCCCCTGTTCTCTTGGCTTGGCAACCCCGACAGCTGTCATGGTGGGCACAGGAGTTGGAGCCCAAAATGGCATTCTGATCAAGGGAGGGGAGCCACTTGAGATGGCACATAAGGTGTGTGTTAATGATGGGGAGGGGAGGATGTCAATTAATGCATCGTGAAATGTCAGTAGAAGATTACAAAATAAGACCAGAGTATCACACACGTACGCACATGTAAAAACCAGCAGCAGTACTTTACGATTCTAAACATTTGTGAATCTGTTCACTCTGCAGGTGCAGATAGTTGTATTCGACAAGACAGGAACCATCACATACGGAGCTCCAAAGGTCGTTCAGGTCAAGATTGTTGTGGAAGGGAACAAGATGCCCCGCTCCCGGCTGCTGGCCATCGTGGGAACGGCGGAGAACAACAGCGAGCATCCACTGGGAGCCGCGATCACCAAGTACTGCCGCCAGGTTTGTCTTTACCGTTGTCTTACGGTCCTGGAGACATTTTGCATGAATAAGAATCAAATGGTTCACGGGGATTTTTAAACCTGCTTTTGTGCAGGAGCTGGGCACAGAGTCTCTCGGCACATGCACCAACTTCCAGGCTGTGCCAGGCTGTGGCGTCAGCTGTCAGGTCAGCAACACGGAGATGCTGCTGAAACAGGCCGACAGTGACAGCGAGGACACCAACCAGCGGAACAGCGTTCTGGTCCATATGAGTGACACCAGAATGACACCCGGCTCACATCCACTTATCATGGACCCACAGCCACTGAGTAAGTTTTAGACAATTTTTTTCTACTGCAGTGAGTTCAACTGTTGCATTTTGTGACTTTGGTGAAATCTTGTGTGGATTTATTTGCACCAGAATACAAACATCTCTTATGTTTCCTTTAGCCAAAGATGTGGAGGTTCTCCAAAGACTCATTTGAGGTTTAGAAATAATCACTTCAGAGATATAGATTTATATATATATATATACATATATATACATATATATACATATATATACATATATATACATATATATACATATATATACATATATATACATATATATACATATATATACATATATATACATATATATACATATATATACATATATATACATATATATACATATATATACATATATATACATATATATACATATATATACATATATATACATATATATACATATATATACATATATATACATATATATACATATATATACATATATATACATATATATACATATATATACATATATATACATATATATACATATATATACATATATATACATATATATACATATATATACATATATATACATATATATACATATATATACATATATATACATATATATACATATATATACATATATATACATATATATACATATATATACATATATATACATATATATACATATATATACATATATATACATATATATACATATATATACATATATATACATATATATACATATATATACATATATATACATATATAATAAAATTAAAAAAAGAAAATAAAAAATTAGTGTCATCCTTTAGTGGTTGTTTCACATAAAACCAGAGTGATTGTTGATGATGTTCCTGCAGTGATGCACCTGATGTCCATGTTCAAACCTCACTGTGTTTACAGAGTACCTGTAAAATGTTTCTTCATCACAGTCATGGTTTTATCCCGTCTGTAGCACCAGTGCAGACGACCAACTACGCTGTACTGATTGGAAACAGAGAGTGGATGAGGAGGAACTGCCTGGACGTCAGTTCTGACATCGATGAGGCCATGACTGAGCACGAGAGGAGGGGACGCACGGCTGTTCTAGTGGCTGTTGATGGTATTGTTTCCTCCCAAACTCTCAGTTTGTTTTATATATTTCTACTTTACTGTAGTCTTTTTCTACAAAAACACTAAAACAGTTTTGACTTGTGTGCAGACTTACTGTGTGCCATGATCGCCATAGCGGACACTGTGAAACCAGAGGCTGATCTCGCTGTTCACACCCTGATCAACATGGGTCTGGAGGTGGTGCTGATGACCGGGGACAACAGCAAAACAGCACGAGCCATCGCTGCTCAGGTGAGAGGGCTGTGAGAAGTGTGTTCCTCTGGTTGGTATTGTTACGGACGATACCCTCACAGTGGCAGGAGAACAAACTGAATTTTCAGTAATGTCACCGTTTGTCCACTGACTGTTGCTCTAATCCACAGTTGATAAAAGTGTTCTTATTTACACACAAATGTTTTTTTTTCAGGTGGGCATCAGGACAGTGTTTGCTGAGGTTCTTCCCTCCCACAAAGTAGCCAAGGTGGAGCAGCTGCAGCAGGCGGGTAAGATAGTGGCCATGGTGGGAGACGGCGTGAATGACTCTCCTGCTCTGGCCATGGCTGACGTGGGCATCGCCATCGGGACCGGGACGGACGTGGCCATAGAAGCTGCAGACGTGGTGTTGATCAGGGTGGGATGTTTCATTCATCTCCACTCTATTCCTTAAACCAAACATCTGATGTCACTACTGTTTTGATTGACACCCCTCCTTATCTGTCTTTGTCTGCAGAACGACCTCTTGGACGTGGTGGGGAGCATTGACCTCTCAAAGAAAACAGTCCAAAGGATCAGGATCAACTTTGTGTTCGCTCTCATCTACAATCTTGTTGGCATTCCTATTGCTGCTGGTGGGTGACTTCAGGAGGTCTGGACACACTGACTGGGATCATTTCATGATTGTCTGGAGCATTAACATGACGTCACTCTGTTCACAGGTGTGTTCATGCCCATTGGTCTGGTCTTACAGCCATGGATGGGTTCTGCTGCCATGGCACTGTCCTCCGTCTCTGTGGTTTTGTCCTCTCTTCTGCTCAAATGGTAAGGACCACACGACTGCTTTGTTTTTAGTATTATTATACAATAATCATCTAAACATTTTACTTTGTGTAACATCCAAAAATATTTAGCTCTCCAAGTACCACCAGTACGACCAACATTAAAACACAGCAGCATAGACCTTCCCTGTTCAAGCACAGCATATGAAGAATATAATATAATCCATATTAAAGTATTTATTGACCAAAGAAATAGTACAATAAAATAGCACTGCAACTGGCACGTTTATTCAAAGCTGAAAAAGCACACAGAGCAACTAACAAGGCAGTTTTAACATTTTAGATTCCCCAGCAGGCCACTAGAGGGAGACAAACGTCTTAAAATATTTTTTTGCACTCTTAGCCAGTTTATTAGTTATAGCTTTTCAACTGCTCATTAGTATTGTGAATGTGATCAACACAGTCTGGAAACTTCCAAACTAAGCAAGTTGACTTATGAATGATGTGACCAGTGTGTGTATGTTCAACACTTTTAACTGTGCTTCTGTTTCTAGTTACACTAAGCCCAGTGCAGAGAAGTTGGCGGCCCGGCTGGGCAACGTCCGGCATCAGGGCAGCCTCTCCGACGTCAGCATCCACATCGGCATGGGAGACATTCGCCGTCCGTCCCCCAAACTAAGCCTGCTGGACCGCATCATCACCTACAGCCGCGCCTCCATCAACTCCCTGCGCTCGGACAAACACTCACTCAACAGTTTGGATCAGAGCGAGCCGGACAAACACTCTCTGCTGGTGGGGGGGGCTCAGCAGGAGGAGGAGGAGGAGTTCTGCTGAAACACTCACAGGCTCACAGAGGAACTTGTTTTATTCCAGACGGTGTTGCTCTAATCGACCGTCCATCTGCTGGAGGTGCCTCAGGGCAGCACAGCCGAGGTGAAGAGAGATTCTTCTGTTTCAGCTCCAGCAGAAGATCGCAGTAGCAGAACTTATTTTTTTGAAGTTGTTGCCTTCCACCTGTGTTCTCTGTCCAACGTTTAACACTATGGTCTCCTGACATTTTGTGTGCTCAACATGGAGCACTGCATCCAGGGAGCAGAGTGTCAGCTCATCTGCCTGTACAATCTTGCCATCAATCCAAAGACTATTGAACAGCAGTGTCCATGTTCAGTAGTTGTGGATGCTATGAAATTATATTTTCACTGATTTTCCTTTTTAAAACAAAAAAGGAAAATGGAAGTAACACTGTTGTATTATACTATTCCAGATTATTTATATTACACATATTTATCTTATTTTTTCCATCATGTGTGGACTATGAAGTTGTTAAATCAAAGTTTCATTTTTAATTTTCAGTCAATCGTTTGAACATGGAAAATGATTGATGAAGTGTAGATAGCTAAGTGAACACTAAGGCTTTGTGCTAAACCTTACTGTTGAGGTGGGAATGAAGTATATTTGTCAGTCGAGCCAAAGTGCCAATAGAAAGAGCCGCCTTGGCGAAGACATTCCAAAGACCGCACTGACTGTGTGGGTGTAAATTTATATATGACCTGAGAGGAAGTCACCACGGAGAGAAAGACACAAACTAAGTGTCAGAGAGGAAACTGCAACGGTGATGGATATATAGTCAGGTCTGCTCCACATCTTTGGTTAACTATGAAGCTGTCTGTCAGTGACTGTGAACAGAGGTCAGTGTCTGACTGTTTGTGCTGTATCGTTGGTCAGTTTGTTATTGAATAACAACGTTGAAGAACTTGCGTTACTTTTTCTAAGGTTTTTACTGTCTTTTGTACTTTGTTTTGTACCTGAGTTATAACCAAACAGCGGTTGTCACTCAGTCACACACAGGAGCAGGATCAGAAGGATTAATTATGATCCTGCAGTTTCACCAAAATTGTTGCTGAGAAACGGACGTCTAATTAGGTGCTTTAAAAAATAAATACAGAAACTGTGACCATCAGTTGCAGACAATGACAACTTGAATGCTTCTGCTCCAGGAAATCTTTCTTTGTTTTATCTTGAGGTTTCTGTTTGGTAGCCTTTCCCATAATGCACTACATTCTACAGTTTTCGCAACTTCTGTTTATTTTGGTGCTGTGTCTCTGTCACGAAGATTATTTTGTCTGGGAGATACTGATTCACACTATCTGTATCTCTGAACAGTACGTGCCTTTAAATAAAATGCCTTTGTCACGTCTTTCTGCTGATTTAAGGTCTTGCCACTAGATGGTAGTGACGCCTTTTTTAGGGGACACAGCTTTGCAGTAGGTAAAATCAAAATCCACTTTAACATTTTAATCAAGTCAACGCCAAATGAGGTTTGAACACATTTTTAGAAAACGCCTTAGTTTGTTTTTGGTCTATATTGAATTTTATGTAATTTCAAGTTTTACAACGACAGTAGTTCATAGACACAGTCTTAATATTTCAAAAGCTTTGCTGCTGAAAATACAGCAAAGATTTAATATATCCCTCTGTACGTGGCCCCGTGATGGACTGGTGATCCAGTGTATAAATCAAAAGACCTGATACAAGATTTAATCACCGTTTATTTCATCCAATTAGTCTAAACATCACATCAACCCAGTGTATGGCAAAACTGATAACAGATCTCTTTAACATCTTTTGAAATGTGTTATTATCACTTTGGCTGTGGTGATGTTTTGGTAGGTTGAAGTTCAAATAACTTTTGGATGTTGTTTATCATTTTTGGACACAAACAAGCGAGGAAAAAAAATCACTGATGTAAGAAGTTTTAAAATATGCAAAATGCTGTTCCGTTACAATTTTGTGCTTTTTCCCCCCCGGACCGATGTACCACAGAACAACTGCAATTGTAAACGTCTACATTCAGTTACTTGGAACACTAATATAACAATCCTTACTTTAAACCTGCAAGAGAACAGCTTCGACTATTATCTCCCACAAAACACTGATCCTCTAAAATAGACTCTTTAACAACAACAATTATAGATCTATGTTTATATATAAGTTATTTTACAGATAATTAAAACATTAAACACTTAAATCACACACCGTCAATGAACAAAAGGTGCAATGAAATTAAGTTAGAATTCACAGGCAAATCAATATGTTAAACAATTGTATTGATTGGACTGATTTATTTCCACGTACACTGGGTCTAAGAGATAAAGTAAGTAATTTTAATCTGAGATTTGTGGTTTCACTTTAATCCCTGATTTCAAAGTGTCTTATGATAAATCTGGAACACATTGTACAGTCTCTCTGATAAAGAAATTATTAAGTTTGTGCAGTAAAGTACAGCGGCTGTTAATGCAAACGCCGGGCCATGTGTCGTGCGCAAAAACATTATGTATATTTTATTGATAAACGGCGCTGAAGATGTTTTATTTTGAAAAATTACCGGATGCTCTCCCAAATTAAAAAGCCTCTGTACAATCAAGAGACCAGTCAAAATAAATGTCTCCAAAGAGGAGGCCCTCGAGACGTAAACAAGCGTTTCTTTTTTTAAATAAAATGAATTAGCTTTTACAATGGCGTTGCTAGGCGTAGGTTAACAAAGCGTTCGATAATTTTCGATCAGCAAATTTCAAATGCCCACAATCTCTTCATGGTATGACTCAGTAAATTAATTAGCACCAAAGTTTACGGATTCTGAGCTTTTTGAACGCATCGTCTTACCTGCCACTTTATAGCCAATCAACTTAGAGCGCGACAAAGGAAATGGTGTCGCGAGACGTAAATAACAATGAGAGTAGCCTGACGTGCTGCTTTTTCTGCGGGAATACTCATTTACTGGCTCGCCAAACCATCGCTGGCTAATGTGCGGCGTTCTTCGTTATGGTGAGTTTGACTTTAATGTCATTTATATTTGTTTTAATATAGGTTGGTTTAGATTTGTTGTCGGTCAGTCTATGAGAATAGTGTCCTACATGAAAACCTCTGTGGCGGGAGTTTATAACTGTCAATACTGATATCCACATTTAAGACTGGTAAACAAATAAACCTAACTTAAAAACAAACAAACAATGGAAATTAATTCCTGACACTTCATTAAATGTGCCATCTCCTGTTTGTATTGATAAACAGCTCTGTACATATGGTAAAGTGGTCTGTAATAGGGCATGAGTGAGTTTCTACAGCTGTTTGATAAACTACCGTGACCACGTCATTTTAATTACAGGAAATACCCAGCTGTGTTAAAGACACCACTTTGTTTGATGTCTCTTAATACTGTAAGTTTTTAAAAAAAACGGAGCACAATTGTTGTACAATATAGTTGTAGACAGAGTTAAACAGCACTCCAGCTGTTACAAAGAGGAATGGTTAAATTTATTTTTGTTTTTTTGCCTGTTGATGAATTCATAATATCATTGCAAGTGCCATGCAACATCAAGTCAGATTCTCCTTTTGTGACATGGACAATACTCAACTATGGCCCTCCCGACCTCCCTATATATGTATATATACATATATATACACACACATATATATTTATATATACATGTACCGTATATGTAACCATTTAACCTGGTTTCTTGATATGATGATTGAACTGTCACGTCCGTCTCTGACCAAATATTTGTAGTGGTTTGTTCATGCATGTTAGAATAGGTAGTACTATACACTGATTATAAAGACTTCAAATAGCACCGTGTCGGCTCCTCTGTGGCTGGCCTTATTATAGCGTCACCTTTTATTGGCTGGATCCCTGGACGATTGCTGTCAAATGTCATTAGCCCTGAGGCTAACGTTACTCATTTGGCAAAATTAAGTTACACAAAGTGACAGCGATTCCGTAAAAGTCACTCGATCAATAAAAATCACATTTGGCAAATGTACGAACTGCAGAGCTTGGTCATTAATACACATTATGTCCAATTACAACGTTGTTAGGACAGAGAGCCTGTCAACCTCGGGTAAGGGAGGGTGTGGAAATGAAACAGTGGTAGAACATGCTTAAGAGACAAAATTAAAAAAAAATACACTGGATAAAACCGTAGACTTTAAATAAGAAAACGATGGTGTTATCTAGTTGCAAATAAAATCCTTGAGATAATTAAAGCCGCTGAATTGCAGATGTAATTTCCAGTCAGACCACTGGAGGGGCCTGTTTATCACGATACAACAAGCTTTATCATTATTTACCACTGTATTAAATCTGAATTTTATAACATTGAGGTGTGAAAACTAGCAATCGAGACCATAATCTCCTAATAAACAGTTTACTAATATTAGGTTTACTGACATCATATACAGAGTGAGAGGGAGCTTAGTGTTTCCACAGACTTCTGTTCACAGATATTTCTGAAATCAAGCTACTTTTAGTAAACTACCCCAGCTTCAATAGTGCTGTAAAATACTGTTTTTTTTCTCACATAATGTCTGCATTTACAGGCACATTTTATTTTTTATAATATATAAAATATTTTTGTACTATAATTATTTAATACAGTACTTTTAGCTAATTCCCAAGACTTAAATTGTGCGGCCAAATGATGACGCCCATTTTCTATATACGTTCTACAATAGAGTTTTTAAGATAAAATGTTGTCATGTATCCCAGATTGAGAAAGTCTTCTCTCTGTTACATTTAAATCACACCCACTATGAGGAGACTGAGGGAGGGGGAGGAGAGGGAGTGGAGTGGAGAGGAGAGGAGTCCCCAGGTGTCCATGTGAATGTTGGAAATGAGGAGACACAAACCTAACTTTGGCACAGTAGATGAGGAGGGCTGACTGAGAGACGAGGAGCACACCTGCAGCTGTGTTATGGCAGTGTTTGGATGAGCGCACGTCACACTCATAGACCTTTGTTGAAGTAGACTCTCTCCACTCCAGGGTGGCTGGCCCTGATTTTCTCCTGCAGCTCTGGCTCCAATCGGCTCACTGACATGGAGCTGGAACAAAAATGGGAGAAATGCAGAGGTTAAAAGGTCAAACACTGACACTGGAGGCCATCTGTGCAGAAGTTGAGGCAGGAAGTGATCACGAAGACATGGTTGAAACTAGAAACTAGATGCATAAAAAAAACTAGACACAAGTCAAAGTTACGAGGTGATATGTTGTGTTCAGTGTTTGAGTTTGAACCTGTTCTCTCACCTCTTCTGAGGGAACAATGCACAGCAGAGGGGAGTGGCAAACACTAGGCTGCAACACAAATGTAAACCTTTAGCATAAAGTTCAATATACAGTTTATATATATAATGTACAAGTTACATTATAAAAAAACTACAGAATGAAAAAAAACTACGAGAAAATGTTAAAACTGCTGAAATTTGGACAATTCAGAATCGGCCAGAACACAACTAAACCTTATACTTATAAAGTCTACAACTGGGGGGAAATGCTAGAAAGTACCAAATAAATGAAAAATCAAAAGATGATTTAGATTTTATCCATGTGTATTAAAAAACAAGTAAAATATATCAAATTTCAGTGAGCTAGCCATAATTAGCCAAGTTAGCCTAAATATATTTAAATTTTGTAGATTGTTAATAACAGACCATAAAAAAAGTAGCTGGAGCTTCACAACAACGGTCTAGAGACAATCTGCCTCAACATCCTATCATGTAATGGTTTAAAATTAGCTTCTCTTTTACAGACCAGTATCTACTGATACAAAAGCAATGAAGTCTGATGAAGTTTGAGCTAGAGATTAGACTTTGGAACCCACGTCTTATCTAGAAAACTAATCAATCCGATTGTTCTCTGTCCAGGTCACAAAACATGAGGTTATATATATGAGGTTGCCGTGTCAGTGGAATTTGACATGGGAGCTTATCAGATGCCCTGTCCAATCACTCACCAGAATCCCACCAGGCTGACTTGAATAGGTGCACTCATCCATGGAAACTTCTGAAAAGACCAGGCAGAGGGAAATGAATGAGAGGCATAAAAAGCAGCAGAGAACTGTCATAGTGGAGTCGCTCTGCGTTCTCCCTGTTCCCCCCGGTGTGTAATTGCTAGACGCAGCAGTGTGGCAGTGGCAGTGTGGAACATCAAGTTCACACCATTAAGCTTGAAACTTGATTGCGTTTTAAACGGCTGGTGGAGATGTTCAGGGGGACGGGTGCTGAATAAGCAGTTCTCTGTCTAATTCAGAAACATTCCTACCTTCAGAAAGGCCTTCTTTTCCAAGTGGTTCATTAAAAACGGAGGAATGGCTGAAAAAAAAATACACAATGAGAGAAAACATTTTAAAGAATAGAAGTTTGAAGATTTCCAATGTGTGTTTACATTAGAGGACCATAGTATGGGCGCAGAGTCTGCAAAACTGTCCACAGTTAGCTTTAAATCAGCATTTTCATAGACCAGTGGAAAATTACCACTTCCTAAATATGAAATATTAATAATAAATCATAAAAACTAAAATGTATGTATTTAATATAAAGATTACTATTTGTGAAAATGATAATTCTGTCTTACTGTAATTAATAGAAACATATATGTGTTGCATTCAATCTCTTGGCGTTTTCTTGCAGAGGTAGAGTGAAGCCAGGCTTCCTCACTTTCCAAAATACAACCATAAGTTAACTGTTGTTTCATTAAAAAAAGACAAAAAGACTGTTATCTACTCCTCTGTCTCTGAGAGGGCGTTTTCTGATGTGTAAAACAGCGCCCCCTCAATGTTACGTGGTGAATGGACGTTGAAAACACGGTACTGCACCCTGTTGTTTGGAAATTTTCACCAGCGGCAGGATTATTAACCTAATGAGACAATAAAAATGTCATACCCATTCCGGGAGACGCCATGAGGATTCTGGAGACCACGACCTGAGAGATAGCCTGCTGTGCAGCTTTTGTCGACTCCCCTAACCTGTTGTCGTTCTCATCTGTGATTGGAATTCCATGCTGAAGTTCTCTAAGGATCACCGAAGCAAATCAAATCTCTGACATCCACATGATTTCATTAATTATCTGGGGGAACAGCATTACACCTGGTGTGTGACCTACCTTTGTCTCATCAGTGGGATGTTGATGCAGTTAGCAGCAGCTACAGCAGCAAACGGCACAAACCGTCCGAACAAAGGTGAAACATGCTGCGACAAAATGTAGAGAAAGAAATAAATGTAAAAAAAAAGAACATGAATTTTTTTCTGTGCTGACGGCACAGTGTATTGTGTAGAGAGATTAAAATGTCAGGTTATGTAGCAGAAACTATAAAAGCTGGCGTGACAATGTGCTGATTGCAGAGCCTGAAACTAAACATGGCTTCTTTATGGTACAGAGTCTTCACAACAATTCATTATAATGAGACTGAGATGGGGTTAGGATGGAACCGATACCTTTGTTAGTGCATTAAGTCCTAGTGCGGTGACAACTGCCCCTGTGGTGGCAGACACATATGCTGTGCCAAGCTGACTGTGGACAAAAGAGTCACCGGTCACGTCACACACACACACACAAAAAATGTTCACACTAAAGGGTTATTACGGAGCAGTGCCGGAGTTCAAATATTTGGTCGTTACCTGACGGTGATCGGAGCGTCTCCACTCCTGTTTGTATAGTTTACTATTGCGTTGAAAGATTGATTGATCCACTGCCAAAACAAGACAGCTGGAGTCGTCCTGCAGGATTCAGAGGACAAGAGTCACAAATTGGTGTGGTCGATATCAGAGAAAAGTTTACAGTTTTTGAGCTAACTTGTTTTTAAGAACACAAGTTAATCAAGGATGAACCAATAAATGTTACATGAACATGGCTAATGGTTAGTAACAACAAATCAGTTATATCAAAACACTGTGAAAAGACAGAACTAAAACTCAACACAAGAATATACTAAATGGTGGCTAACATATAGCAAAAACTGATCAAATATGCCATTAATGGAACATTTTGATGTCAGTTATCTCCAATTTTAGCTAAAGCTAGCCCCAAAAAACCATAAAATATATACAAATAAAATGTTAGCCCTTACATCACACTCTCTGGTAGAAGTATAGTAAATACTTGCAACATTTGTACAGCTAAATGTTAGCGTAGGTAAAAATAAAAGGAAAAAAAAAGCAACCAAATGTTAGCCTAAATAAGCTACTCTTACTTGGCAAACAGTACCTACAGCTCACAAATACTATTTGAAATACTTAATAGTAAAATATCTGAATATATCAGCCATAATCTGACTAAATCTCATTCAGACGTCAGAGGTTTGAATATAGGACAAACTCTTACTTATAAAAGGTCATCATGCACCCAGTTATCGTCATGTTCATTGGAACCTGCGCCGACATGCGGCCAATCAGGATCATCTTCTCCCCGGTGTCAGGATGGAATGCTGAGTCAAAGACATATTTGGCTCTCCACAGCTCGTCCTCTGTCAGCCCTGGAGACACTATTCCTTCCCTAAGAGAAGGTTGACACACAGACATTAATTAATCAGTCAGTGGAACTTCTGCTTTTTTTTTTTGGAGGGTTAGCGACTTACCTGTAGTCAGTGATGATTTTGTGTGCATTTGCTAGCTGCTCGTTGGTGAGGAGGACGTTTCTGGGGTCTGTGACGGTGAAGAAATGCTTGGCCCGACCTATAAATGTGCTCTGGTCCCAGCGAGGCTCCTTGATGTTAATGGATGTGGAGAGTTCTGCTGCCATGGTTGTCTGAGGAAAACCAAATAATCATACAGTAGATGAACAGCGTGTTCTTTTTTTCTGCTTTAAAGATTCTACAGTAGTACTACAGTAGTAATTGTTCTACTGGAGTAAATAATTCCTGAAAACTTCAAGCGTTTCTACTGGAGTAAATAATTCCTGAAAACTCAAACGCACTCCATTGAATAGATCTTGGAAGTCGTTTTTGTTCAAGCGTTCTTTCTATAGAACTTAGTCATGGATGCAGGAATGGTAACGACAATAACACCTCCTGTCTGGTTTACCATGCAGCTAATTCAGCACAACGTTGCTATGGCGATGGTCGACCTGTCAAGAGGGTTGTGAAGCGCAAAGCTGTATAATGGACACACACCAACCCCCCCTGAAATGACTGCTGCTGTAAAGGAAGGCAGCTCTGGGGGGAGACCGACTCTGCCCTGTTTGGATATATATATACGAAGAGTGGAACACCGTGTTATTACAGTGTTATTACAGTTGACCACAGCAGTGGTATTAATGTATTTTTTACCATGAAGATAAAAACAGCATCATCAACTAATATTATAACAATTACACACAGCAGTCAGTCAGCCTCTATCATGTTGGTGCTGCGTTATTGTAGAAAATGTATTTAAAGACTTCTTACTAATGATCCTAATTAACACAGCGGGGCATCTGGGATTGGAATGATATAATCTGACCATCTCTATGGATGGATGGAAACTTAGACACCCACCATATACGGGAACCAGGTTTTAGCTCAGACAGTGGTCTGTCCTTCACAGTATTTGAGGATAGAATGAGCTAATCCTGGTTGATCAGCTTAAAACAAACATGGATTAAAAAATATAATAGTAAAGAGAAGCCTGCTGTTTGGCACAGACATCATTCTGACACGGTCTGTCAGCAGACCTGGAGGTGTTGACACCGAGCTGTCACGCAGCTCATGGTTCTCAAAAGTGAAAACTTCACTGTTTAATGGATAAATGTCAATAAACATCAAGATAAACAGCTTATAATTAACAACTAATCATTTATTTTTACTTCTTTAAAAGAGCAAAATGGATAAAGACGGGGACTGTCAGACCAGGGTTAGACACTGAGGGAAGTGTTTATAAAAACAGGGATTAACGTCAAACAGAAAAGAACAAATGCATGAGGTCTTAGTTTGTGCAGCTCAGAAAAGGA